TGGTACCAGGAGGTGGTGGTTGCCGGTCGATGTGCGATACCGGCCTGGGAGGGTGAGTGTTAGCCCCAGGCTGGAGTGAAGGGTGGGCTGTGGTCTGAGATGTGTATATGGTAGGCGTAACAGACGTACCAGGAGGTGGTGGTTGCGACGGTACAGCTGGAGGGAATGAAGCTGGACTTGGAAACCTCGGGGGGAGACCCGTCTGTGTGGGCGACGCCATTACGTTCGAGGGTGTGCGAGCCACAGGTTGTAGTTGAATGAAATGTCCTCATCGATAACGACGACAGAATCACTAGCGGTAGCCATATAGTGACGGGCAGTTCCAAATTCTCAACAGTTCAGTGCGAGCCGACAGCTTACCTTGACAGGAACGAGAGCGTAGCGGTCCGGGAAGTTGAAGGTAGACGCACATGGGCCAGAGGGGGGAGGGGGGCGAGTACCGCCGAGGCGGCGAACGCAGCGATCCGCCGGTTGTTGACGAATAAGTCCGGTGGTTAGGGACGGCGAAGAGTCCGAACACCGCTGCCACCAGTGTAAGTTCCGTATACTTAGCAGACAAGGAGGCCAGGCGATGAGTAGTGTGGAGATGAATCTATTCTGCTGTAGAACAATATACAGGTCTACCATGTGCTCCAGTTCACCTCTGACCCCGGGTTGGCTCATACCATTCCAACCCGGGGGTGTTCTATTTCTGCTACTTACAATAGCTTATGTAAATTTTTTTTCTTATATGCTTACTAGACCCTTAATTGTTACTGGAACCAGGTGTAAACTTATGTCATAATCTGCCACAAGTTTTATATACTCATTGACGTCTGGGCCTTACTGAAAAACAATTATACGACAGAATTGAATAGGATTTAAATCATGTCTAACTTTTAGTCTCCTTTTCAGGCGTTCCCGGATCGGCCTTTTTTTTTGGCGGGGGGGGGTGTTCCGTTAAAATGTAGATCACACGCAATAGAAGCTCCGGCCACGGAGATAAATGTAGGGTTGCTGGCTGGAGCTTCTATTGCGTGCGATGTACGTTTGATCAGAAAATCCCCCCCCCCTTAAAAAAAAACCGGCCGATCTGGGAACACCTGAAAAGGAGGCTATCTAACTATAAGATATTATTATTTTTTCCTTCAACACATGCAGAGTTCTTCAGTAGTTGAGTTGAACTCCGACAGAGTGACAGGCAGTGGCTACCTGCACGTCCCAGCTCAGACTAACATCTACTTCAGCCTCACAGTGCCAGCCAATCACACATACGCTGTGGTCCTGAGGTACAATGTAAGTAACTTAGATATGGATTGCAATGTTCAAACAATGTCAGTACTGCACTTCATACTTCAAGTTCAAATGTACTCAGACAATGACATGTATTTATGTTGGCAGATGATGAAAAGCGGCTGGTGTCTAATTTCTTTTGTCTCCTGTAACCTCTGTCTCAGTATGAAGGATACATTAATGGACATGATAAATTCATGTATTACTCTTGAATGTTCTTGTCAGTTGAACTTTATTGTTGTCTTTCATGTTATTTCAGAGTGAGTTTTCAGGAGATTCCGTCTGTGTGAGTTTACATCGTCAGGAGGGTTGCCATGACAACAACACCAGGCTGCCTGCCCTTGGGGAGGGCGGTGAGACGAATTCCCTAAACTTTACTACAACTCATAGACTAATACTATGAATGTTGAAGGGCTGTGTTCACTAACTTAACCCTTGTCCTGCTGGCATTTTTCCACAATATTTTTCAATAATTTCATGTCTTAATCAAGTCATAGACCCACAACTTTTTTTTTTTGCTCTGCGGCGGCATAGTTACTTCCGCATTCGTTGCATTTCCCTGTGGTATAAACAATGCTGTAATGCCCTTTCAGGATCTGAGATTGTGTATTGATTCATATTGCTGTAATGTCATATTTTTGCAGCAATTCCATAAAGAAGTCTGAACAAATCTGTAATGCCCTTTCAGGATCTGTGATTGCAACAAATGTACACCTTGATGCAGGTGTAGAGTACACCATCTCTGTCTACACAAACAACAGCAATGGGACAGATGGGATCTTACTGGACTCTGTAAGTTATAAAACATTTAATAATGGCTGACATTTATCCTATGATATGATGTCAGGTTTGACCTTTTCCTTGCTGGCAGTAAAGGAAACTGAATCATTAAAAGCCTGGATGTAACCACTAACATTTTTGATACTGTAATTCCAATTTCCGTTAGTGTCATGATTTCTTCTCATCCTTTGAACCTGCTTGATATTTGCTTTAAAACAAAAAATTCTTCATATCCCTTTAGTTGTCAATTCTTGTTACCCCACAATGTGGCAAAAATGCTGTTGTTTCATTGGTGTTTTTATTCCTTTTTTTGTGTATTGAGAGGTAACCATTGCAAAATCAATGTTTTAGAAATGAACAAAAGTGTTACAGTGTTGTGAATATAACATTCAGCACCAAGGACAGGTATGAAATGCCAGACAAGTATAGATGTCTTTGATGCTTTTTATCTATCTTTAAGTTAACACTCTGGACTGTTGTAACCATGTTTTGTTGTACCCTATAGTTGGTGCTGCTGCCAGTACTGAGTGAGACCACAGTGTACCAGACAGCCAGTCCTGCAGACAGACAGACCCTGAGCTCCTGCTGGGCTGCAGCTGCTGCAGTCAGGCAGCAGACTTCTGCAGACTGTCAGCTGTGGGGGGACGCAGTCACGGCAGAAGTATATGGAATTCAAGGTTTGCATAGATTCATTATGTATTCTCCAGTAGTTCCTAAGACTTTTACATTATCCTTGAATCTGTCCTATGTATCATGTTACTCAGTATGATGTACATGTAACATCAGAGTCCGATGCATGCATTTAGCCCCATGGGCATGAATATACAAATAAAGATTCAAAATACTTGTATGTTTACTTTTGCTTTGCATTTTCTATGTTTCTTTTTCTTCCTCCTCTTCTTCTTCTTTTCCATATACATAAACCCAATTACCTGGATTAGGTTGGTTGGTTGGTTGGTTGGTTGGTTGGTTGGTTGGTTGGTTGGTTGGTTGGTTGGTTGGTTGGTTGGTTGGTTGGTTGGTTGGTTGGTTGGATAAATGGTTGGTTGGTTGGTTGGTTGGATAAATGGTTGGTAAATTGATAGGTTCATTTTTTGGTCAATGTGTAAAAGTGACAAAAGGTAAAAACTTGTCTGGATTTAGAATTTGCTACAGTTACTGTAACATCTTTAGACACTATGTCTGTATATTTTCCTGACAGAATGCAGCTGCAACTCCACTGGAGTGAATGGTACGACCTGCTCCCCCCGTGGTGGACAGTGTGCCTGTCTGCCTGGGGTGGTGGGGAGGGACTGTGACTTGTGTGCAGCCTTCACATATGGCATCAGCTCAGGAGAGGGGTGCACAGGTATGTTAACTGTATGAAGATGAAATTTTATTCAAGACCTGAAGTAAGAAAGACATCAAGATTGTACGTAAGGTACTTTTATTAAAGGGAGAAAGACTATCATCTGTTTGGAAATAGTTTTCAAAATTGTTTTATTTATTCACTTCACAACACTTGCAGATTTTTATGGCCCTTTGTTGTGTTGTGTTACCAGTGTTGTTGTTATGTCATTCAGCACCAAGGACAGGTATGCTTTCTTGTGGTAACTGTTTGAAAATCAATATTTTAGCCAGTAACAAAACTGTTGACAGTGCTGTGGCTATGTCATTCAGCACCAAGGACAGGGATGAAATATCATGCCTGTTCAGCATAATCTAAAAGAATTGTGAAAATCATAGTTACAATAGATTCCATTTGTATTTGTGGCAACTACATTGTACTAAGCTCTTTCTTTTCTCCTGTCCAGCATGTGACTGTGACCAATTAGGCTCTGTGGACCAGTCATGTGACCCCCTGACAGGGGCGTGTCATTGCCATGCCAACGTCCAGCCCCCTAAATGTGACTCGTGTGTAGAGGATCACTATGGACTGCAGACAGGACAGGGGTGTCAGCCCTGCACATGTAACCTGACCTACTCCTATAACAACTCCTGTACTGATGAGGGACAGTGCCCCTGTAAACCTGGGGTTGGTGGGATGTCATGTACAGAGTGTATGGAAGAGTGAGTATTATATTAACCGATGTATAGCATTGGAGTGCAATGATGTATCTAATGTTAATTAGACATTCACATGATTTTCTTGTGTTAATTTGTGTTTGTGCATCAAACAATCATCAAACCAAATATTATTTCATGTAAAGTCTTAGGCTATTACATAATGTACTCAATATATTTGTTCTTATAGCATTTAATATTATGCCATATCCAAGCTGATGGTGCCAATTTTAATGCAAATGTCCTTTAAAACATTAGCTGTTTGAAAATGGTGGAACTTTGCTAAAGACTACAGAACTTATAGAACTAGTTTAATGTACAGCTCTTTATCAAATTAAATGTATAATGTAGCATCCTGATACCGAAATCTCTCATAACATATTGCCTGACTGTGTGTCTTTATTGTTACAGCTACTATGGGCTTACTGAGGAGGGATGTACGCCCTGTGGGTGTAGCCAATACGGAAGCTTTGAGGGTTGCCATGGTAACGGAACATGCCACTGTCGGAATGCCACACAGGGGGACAAGTGTGACACCTGCAAACCAGGTCATTTTTCATATTTGATACCTTCAAGTTGATACCACCTACAATTAAGGCCTGTAGTGAGCTGGTCTACTCGCCTCCTTTGTGCCTGGACCTCAGGTGCTCTCTGTGATGGTCTAGATTTTCACTGTTGTTTGCCACAGGGTACTACGGCCTGGGGAACTGGTGCAGTGATGGCTGCCTGTCCTGTTTCTGCTCCAGCCACTCTCTAACTGTTCCAGCAGCCCGGGGTAGCTTAGTCACTTTGCCATTTGATGCCAGATAGTTTGTAATATTCAGAAATGTTGCTACTTTTAATTGTGTCCTACAGGATACTATGGCTTGGGGAACTGGTCTGCTGAAGGCTGCCTGTCCTGTTTCTGCTCTGGCCACTCCTCTAACTGTTCCAGCAGCCTGGGATGGCATCACGGCAGTATTGTCAACTCCTGGTCACTCTTGGCCAATCAATGCCATATATTTTGTAATATTGACAAATATTTTCACTGTTTGTTGTTTCTCACAGGGTATTAGGCCTGGGTAACTGGTCCAGCGAGGGCTGTCTGTCCTGTTTCTGCTCCAACCACTCCTCTAACTGTTCCAGCAGCACCAGGGCAGCATTGTCAACTCCTGGTCACTCCTGGCCAATCCATGCCAGATAATACTGAGGGATATTTCCACTGTTGTTTCCTATAGGGTACTATGGCTTGGGGAACTGGTCCAGCGAAGGCTGCTTGTCCTGTTCTGCTCCAGCCACTCTCTAACTGCTCTAGCAGCCCAGGATAGCTTAGCCACTTTTGCCAGTTGACACATGATATTTTGTAATATTCAGAAATGTTTCTACTTTTAATTGTGTCCTACAGGATACTATGGACTGGGGAACTGGTCCAGCGAGGGCTGCCTGTCCTGTTTCTGTTCTGGCCACTCTTCTAACTGTTCCAGCAGCCCAGGATGGCATAGCCACTTTGCCATTTGATGCCAGATATTTTGAAGTATTCAGAAATGTTTCTTATGTTTTATTGTTTCCCACAGGTTACTATGGACTGGGGAACTGGTCCAGCGAGGGCTGTCTGTCCTGTTTCTGTTCTGGCCAATCCTCTAACTGTTCCAGCAGCCTGGGATGGCATCACGGCAGTATTGTCAACTCCTGGTCACTCTTGGCCAATCCATGCCAGATATTTTGTAATATTGACAAATATTTTCACTGTTTGTTGTTTCTCACAGGGTATTACGGCCTGGGGAACTGGTCCAGCGATGGCTGCCTGTCCTGTTTCTGCTCCAACCACTCCTCTAACTGTTCCAGCAGCCTGGGATGGCATCATGGAAGCATCGTCAACTCCTGGTCACTCTTGGCCAATCAATGCCATATATCTTGTAAAACTGACAACTTTTCTACTGTTTGTTTCCCATACAGGGTACTATGGCTTGGGAAACTGGTCCAGTGATGGCTGCCTGTGCTGTTTCTGCTCCGGCCACTCTCTAACTGCTCTAGCAGCCCGGGATAGCTTAGCCACCTGGTCAGACATTTTGTAACATTGACAAATATTTCTAATGTTCATTTTCCACAGGTTACTACGGCTTGGGGAACTGGTCCAGCGATGGCTGCCTGTCCTGTTTCTGCTCCAACCACTCCTCTAACTGTTCCAGCAGCCTGGGATGGCATCATGGCAGCATTGTCAACTCCTGGTCGCTCCTGGACAGCAGTGGCATCAATGAGAGTCGTTGGCAGGCCATGGACGGGGAGGGGAACAGTGTAGACATTGAGGAGGATTACAGAATTCTGGAGAGGTTGTTTCAGCCCCAGTATGTGACCCACCCCCTGTGCACCTGTCAATGTTAGGCCCTTGTGGAGGGGGGTGATGAGAGGGGGGTGTGCTCAACACCCTGCTTCACCAAGGCTTACATGGCAGGGGCTTCCTTGCATGGCATTACTTATTTTGATTACTAGTTCTTTTGCTTGATTACTAGATATCATTTGATATGGTAGCCTGCTCAGTTAGATTTTTAAATCATTTTAGAAGTCAGACTTTACATGTAGAGCTTTGTTAATGTGACTTTTAGTGGAGTGATAAAACATTTGCCTAGGCATGTGCAAAATGCTCCCAGCATGGCATAGTATAGGTATTCGTAACAAGTTTTAGAGGGCACTCCACAAGTCTTTTTAGCTTGTTTTTGTCACAGCATGACAAAAATAGCTTGTAAAAGCAGTTCCTGTTGAAATGACAATAATGAGGTATTGAATTTGAATTTTTACAAATTTGAAGAATAAATACAGTTTAAGTAAAGAGACTTAAACAGATTAATTCAAGAAAAACTGCATCATTCTGCTCAAATTACCATCATAAACTTGATATTATCCATAAGTTGATATGCATCCAGTATTTCCATTACCTATGAGGCTATTACATATCTGATAAAACATGATTTTGAAAATTTTGTGACATACACAAAATTCAATAATTATTGCACTATCTTGAAGCTCTAACGCTTGGTCATGCATTATACTCTTCTAACATTATCCCATCTCTTAACCCAGAATTGTCCTCCATCTGCAAGACACAAACCACACTGATCTGTACTTCAGTGCTCCTGAGGAGTTCCTGGGGGATAAGAGGTCTGCATATCTGCAGAGTTTTCAGTTCACATTAAGTCAGTCGTCTGTAGAGAATCAGACCGACACACCCCGGGCTGATGTGATCATCAGGGGCTGGTACAGGTCAGAACCACTGGTCAGAAGTCTGCCACACAATCCTAGACTCAACAGGACACCATATGAGGTAATGTTAGTCTGGCTACTTCTCACATCAAATTTCTGTGTACTACAATGATCATGATATTATATCTATGGGCAAATGTGCAAGTAGCTAACACCCCACCCAACCTGTACAATCATATGGGAGAGATTGCATATCTATTTCTATTGTTCAATGATGATATTTTGACACTCGAGTATTTTTTTGGTATTAATGTCAATTTGGTATCTGTCTTTATCATGACATGTCAATTTTCTCTCATGTCAACTCTATTTGTCTGAGCTATTTGTTTGGCTACTTATGTTATTTTTAAAAGTTAATAAACCCTTCATAGTAACTTTTCCCTCCATTAAAAAGCAAACACAGCTATATTGATGATGTTGTATGGCAGGTAACATATTTGATTATCCCTGCAGTTCAAATTTCACGAGGATGAGGAGTGGTTTATGGGTAACATCAGTCAGGGACATCGGGCGAGTAAAGCAGACATCGTCACAGTTCTCTCCAACATCACACAGATCCTCATCAGGGCCAAGTACACCACGGTGAGTAGGATAAAATAATATCTTGTTGAAAAATATAGTCTCTTTACAGTTTGGATTGCCAAATTTCTATCTATCATTTGCCAGATTGTGCTTCAATTTGTAATCCACTTTTGTTTTCTAAGTTTCTATTTGGCAATGCATTATTTTTGGTGTTACTCAAAGTTTTGTCTGTTATTACAATACTGTAACAGTCACTGTTCTTTATAACTCAGCAGCCAATATTTATCATGTAGATACATTGTAGAGATGTTAGTACAGGATTGGCTACTTTGAGTAATCTGAAACCTGAACCTGATGATACTTACATGTATATCTCCAATGCATGCAATGATTTGTAGGTACCAGGTGAAGCAGTAGACATGTACTTTGTGCGGATGGACTATGGTACTACTGACCCTTCCACTGGGCCTCCTCTCAACACTATAGAGGAATGCTCCTGTCCTGAGGGATATCAGGTAATGGAATTATAATTAATTATTACCTTATTCAGCATTATAGCAACAGGTAAAATGATCAGTATGGTCAATGTATGCTAGCTTGATTAAGAAACTGGTTTTAATCTGAGAGAGGCTTTACTCAACATCAGTGTATGTTTAACATACCAAAGATCATAAACCAATACATAGCAGGTAGACCTTAAAGTTCCTAAGTACCAATAAGGAAATAGAATATGTGTGTTGAGATGACATGTGTAATGTGGGACCTGTTGAAAAATATAATGTCTTGATCTTTTTGTCTTAATTGTACCAGGGTCAGTTCTGTGAGCAGTGTGCCCCAGGCTATACACGAGAGGTCCCCGATCTCATAGGTGACCCCCTGACCCCGTGTGTGCCTTGCGAGTGTAACGGTCACGAGGCTGGGCCATGCCATGTTGACATGGGGGTGTGCAGCTGCACACACAACACGACAGGAGACCAGTGTGAGCTGTGTGAGGATGGCTTCTATGGTGATGCCTTGTTGGGAACTGCAGGTAGATACAAAATTAATGCAAATCAATGAAAGAACACTATAGAATTTAGCTATAAGATGGTTTCGAGTTTTGAATAAGTCCTATATATAGTTCACTGAAAATGTTGTCTGAGATCCAGCCAAGTTCCTAGCTTAGAGAAATCCTTGGAGTTATTATAGGCTAAAACTATAAGTAACACATTTTAGGCTATATATTCTGAGATGTGTTCAAATTCTTAGCTAGAGTCTTTCTTTCAGCATTTCTAAAGTGCCATTTGTATTCAAAGATTGAATCTAACAGATTTGGAAAGACCATGATTATAGAACACTAAGTGACTATTGAGTAAGTTTAACAGCTTCATGCAATTCAAAGCCAATCCTGTTGCTTGACTAAGTGGTTCATGTACTTCTGTATCTAGCTATAACTTATTATTTGAATGTCTTACCTTCATCATCATACCGTACGGTGTCTTTGTTCCAGACTCCTGCCAGCCATGTGCATGTCCAGGGTTGATCGGGTTTGACACCAACTACTTTGCTGAGACCTGCAATGGGAACGGCACCTGTCACAACTGTACAGACAACCATGTCGGGGACAACTGCCAGGACTGTGCTGAGGGGTTCTATGGACAGCCTCTTAATGCAACAGTGAGCATGTAGCACTCTTTGTTGCTATATATTATTAAAGTTAATTTCTGGTGTATAATTTCTTACCATTTGCAATGTATTGCAAAACCTGACCATGTTTCTTTGGACAGTGCTGTTTATGAGTTGCATAGTTCAAAGTACTCGTGATTGAGCCTAATAAAGTATATGAAGTATCTGTGGCTTAAGCAAGAAGTTTCATGAATGTGAAAATAAGATTGTTTAATAGGACAATGCTGCTTGATACAAAATCCTTGACTATTGAATTTATTGGACGCCAAAATTGCTTTGTTAAACAATTTTAGCACCTAAATGTAAAAGAATACATTCAGTTTTTTGCTTTACAGAACCTGAATGGTGCCTGCCAGCCCTGTGAGTGTACAGACAGTCCCCCGGTGTGTGACCATGTAACCGGGCAGTGTCTGAACTGTATCAACATGATGGGTGGGCACCACTGTGACAGGTGTAATGACACCTTGTACGGACTGGTCATGCCTGGCATGGAGAACAACTGCACAGGTACACTGGAGACTAAACGACTTGTTTCTAATTCTTTTAACCACACTGAAAAGGGGAAGAAATAGGATAGAATACTCTTTTGAATTTCCAATATATTTTGAACCTAATCACTGTTCTTGTTCCTGTTTAACCTATGAATGTAGGTGTAACAGCCCTGATAAGAAAAATCACCTGAAAAAAAACATTTGCTTGAAAAAATTAATTCCAGAGTGTAGCTGTAGCAGTATATGGAGACTGAGTACCATCTGTGATTACAGTACGTTGTTCCACCCTGGGCCTATATATGCTACTTGTAAAAGATGCAGCATCCCTATTTCATTACAGAGTGTAACTGTAACAGTACAGGTAGCAGCAACCCTGTCTGTAACTACAGTACAGGACAGTGTGGCTGCCAGCCTAACATTTACGGCAGGCAGTGTGACATTTGTGAATAACCAGATTAAATACTTTCCTTTCTATTTCATTACAGACTGTAACTGTAACAGTACAGGAAGCACCAGCCTTGTGTGTGACTACACTACAGGACAGTGTGACTGCCAGCGTAACGTTACCGGCAGGCAGTGTGATGGCTGTGAGCCTAACCACTGGAACTTCAGCACCGAGGGCTGCTCCCCGTGTAACTGTCACCAGCCTGGGGCTGTTAGTCAGAAGTGTGACCTAATGGTGATTATAAATCTTGTTCTATCTTCATCATCATACTTTATTCTTCCGTGCTTACCATGTACAAGATTGTTCAACTGTTCTGTTTCAAAGCCTCTTGTATATTCCTCCCTGAAAAGTAATCATGGTGACCAGGTTCGGGCCTTGCCACTTGGTTTTATGCAGTGAATTCAGACCTATTCAAGTTTTTGTCCATGCCTTCTGCTTTATGGTGTCCACTGTGTAATTCTAAAGCCAGAGGAAATAAATTGGTGTGACCTATAAATGAGACAACTTCCTGCTTTGACTTTCAGACTGGTGAATGTAACTGCACAGCCCATGCTGTAGGGTTCCAGTGTGACAGATGTGAGACAGGATACTACCACAATCACAACCAGGAATGTGTCAGTAAGTATCTCTCTACCATCTAGCATTGTAACACATTAACACAGAAAATATACACTGAGGAATTATTATTCTTTTTCAAAAATTGATTCAAAATAGAAGCTATCTAATTAGCCTTGCATTGTTCAGTGTATTTGCAAAATGCGTGATAGCTTCCCAACCAATTATACAGAAAGAATGCATTATTATCAATTCAACCATTCACATTATTTACTAATTACTATCTTCAGCATGCAACTGCAACATCCTGGGCACTGTGAATGGGAACTTGACCTGTGACCCCAGAACAGGTCAATGTAACTGCAGGGGTGGGGTCAGAGGTCAGAAATGTGACCAGTGCAAGTTCGGATTTGAAGGTATGACAATATTTCAACCCTTTGACTCATTTCTACACGCATCTTGATTATTTTCTTCACAATTTTGCCACATTTAATAATCACAAAACACATATTTTTGTCTTAAAGCTTTTTTTACCTACTAGTCTAGAGATTGCATGTTTTTCAAACACAACACAACACAACACACCTCACCTCATTTGACACACATTTGTATTCAATGCTTGATTCCTTCAAACACACCACATGCATGCCTTCAGCTGGATGGATTAACAGAAATAACCTTGGTGAGTCTGTACATTTTGTCTGATACCACGGCGGTCGGTTGCTAGGCTAAAAGTCGCATTACTAGGGAGGTATCGGGTTACAGAACGTGTTCGAACGTGGCCGCGCGGGAGTCCCGGGCTGGCCCGGGGGCAACGGGTAAAATATGAAAATAAACAAAAGTAATTGGAGAGTAAATACTCGTCAAAATAAAATGTAATAAGTGATTTTGTTTACCTCAAATGTTATTCTGACTTGCACTGCCTTTGCTCCACTTCGTGTACATTTGCTTCCAAATGAGATCAATTTCGGATTTCAAAAAGGGTTCACGAGAACCAAACAACTGATTTTAAGAGGCCCCGAAAATTAAAAATAAGGTTAGATTTTTGGATTTTTAGAAATATTACAGTAAATTTAAACTTTCTGTCTTAGGATTTTTTATTTTTTAACTAAAACTCGACTTACAGTCAAAAGAAGAGCTAAAAACGCAGTGTTTTAACTTTAAATACCGAAAATTCATAATCGCGGCCATATCTAAAAAATCCCTAAGACAGAAATCTGCGGAAATCGTTCCTCTTCCAAACAAGCCCTCAATGAGGTAATTTGAGCGATTTTTGGGAATGGTTAAAATACCATGTTTGCACGCATGCTGTGCCACTTGGATATGGGGACCTGGATTTTATAACAGCGTCAACAAGAATTCTGACCTTCAAGGTCACCCGCGATGACGGCAGTAGCTTCGTTACATGTTACATATCCACAATAAAATCACGGCATAGATGTAATGTTTTGAAAACGGTTCATATTTGTGGAAAGGTGGATTTTTCCTGTTCCGTGGTTCCCAAGTAAAAAAGGGCTTGAAGTAGCCGGTTGTAGCGGCTTTACTGTAAATGACCGCGGGTAACCCCAGATCGAACGCCCGCTCTATTCGAATGACGTCATATCGAACAAGATTCGCGGGTTCGGGGGATTCGATCTCCATAGTAGCGGAGTGGGACTTTTGGGCCCAAATCTGACCATCGTGTACACTATGCAGAGATGGTCACAATTAAGCTAGAGCATAAACTGAAAGTAGCCTTACTACAGGAGACTGATGTTTAGAATAAGTCTGCAATCTAACTTTAGAATGATAACATTTTGTTTGAACCTTACAGGAGACTTCCCCAACTGTACAGTCTGTCCTCCATGCTTCGCTGCCTCTGTCACCAGAATACTCAACATCACAGAAGAGCTCAACTCCACGTTTGAAGTACAGTAGCATTGTTATAATTACAGCTCTTATTAGCCAGTGGCAAACTTCTTATAGCTAAGGAAGAAATGAAAGGCATGAGTCTTGAGTAAGTCCCTCTCATCGACAATTCAGATGACCTCATTGCATTGCCAGTTTACACCATGGTAGTGTAGGGTTTTATTTCAATCCAGACCAATTTTCCTGGAATAAACAATGTAAACATGCATTTTACAACTTGTATGTTCTGGGTTCTATCTGCAGGATATCCAAGGCCTGTGGGGCCAGTATGGGAACATGTCTGTCACAGAGGTGAGACAGATCCTTGCCCAGCTGAACAGAACCCTGCAGAATGTTACAGGAGTACTACAGGAGGAGATAGTGGATGCCAGGAACATCAGGGAGCTCAACAGGCTGTATGCACAGGTGGGGTTCTAGTGGCTTTTTGTGAGGGAAATCCCTTCGTAGTTTAGCACATTGTTTTATACTTTGCCAGGACTTTGTCATGATAATTAGAAGGCCTTCTTCAAGATAATTTGTGTACTTGCATTTCATTGAGCAAAGATTGCTTATTATGTCATAGAGTATAGCTTAACCTTCTTGCTGCTGCTTATCCCAATAAATAATAGAGATTTGGTGACAAATGGCTACCTTAGTAGGCTGAAGGTTAAGGTGGTTAATTAAAGCCATCCTACACCGACAAGTTGTCTTATCAAGTAACAACATGAATCTAAGTCTACAGTCATGTATCTACATAATCTGTAAGTAGATGTTCTCTAGTTTACAATACCTGGATGTTTATTCATTTTATATTTGTATTTCTATCACTTATGTGTATGTCTAGATAAGAAACATTTCTGCAGAGCTGGAGTCCCATCTAGCAAGTCTTAATGAGACTCAGGCAGAGCTTGAGATACAGCTGGGTGATCTTGAGAAGTTTAATGGCACCACTGTCATAGATGGACAGGTTCACAATTCTGACAGCATTGGTTATCTGTTAGGTAAGGATACCATATTTATATGTCTTAAAAGTTTCAAGAATACTGGGAAGGTGATTTTTCAAGTACTTTAAGTGGCTAGCAAGCAAGAAAAACATTACAATAATGTTGATATATCAAAATACAGCATGCTAGTGGAAGGAAGGACTGTAGATTTAATTTGGACTTCCTAAAACACTAAGTGATGGCATTTCAGCACCAAGTAGCAGCTGCTATCCTGGATCATGGAGCAACCTTTACGCTTTATTCATGCATTTATTACTTTTTAATGGTTCCATATCGTTTGTACTAACCTTTTTAAGCTATAGGTTAACAGCTATTGCAGCCGCTAATATAATTTGCAGCTTTATTTCTTTTATTGAATGCTATTCTCTGCTCGCTGCTTGTTTTGGATATCAGCTGAGGTTTTTGGTGAGTGACAATGTTGAATGTTATATTTTGATGTCAATCATAAAAAATATTTTATTAAAATGTAAACAAAACTATGTTACTAACAAAAGAATCTATATTATTTTGATTTCTTATCAAGTAATTTAAGCCAAAGAAATTCCCAATAATGTCAGAATTAAGATATACAGAGCCTTCATGTGTTGACCTTTCACTTTTTCCGCTCACTTTCAGACACTGTAAAAGTTGATGTAGCCAACAGAACTGCCACTGCAAACAGAACCTGGTACAACATCAACCAGATACAACAGGACCTGAACGCCAGCCTTACTGTACTGTACGGGCTGGAGAACAACATTTCAAACATCAACCAAACTTTGGAAGATTCAAGGAATCTACTGGAGGAAAGTTCCAACATCACAGCAAAGAACTACTCTACAGAAGTGCAGCAGAATATTGAAGAGCTGGGAAGGCTCAGTGAAACTGCTACAGGACTGGTGGAACAGTTTACAGTGTTAGCTTCTAATGTGTCCAGGGTAAATATACATTCTGAAGATTTTTGTGGTAATGTGGATCTATTACAGCTAAACAGATGTTAAGATGGGAAACTGTAATGTTTTATGACTGAGAAGCTTCTCTGGCAGCCATTCATCCCAATATAACTGGGGAATGGATGACTACATAGCTTTGAGATGATGACATAGTGTGAAAAAGTAAAATTAAAGTCTTTGCAATTGGAACACTGATGATTTTCTTTTATGAATTTTTTCATTAATGAAAGATGAAGCATTGAATAAGATAAGTAGCATTTAATGTGAAGAAAATTGATTCTAGTTTGGATATTTTTTCCCAAGCTTCTTCAAGATGTACAGGAAGGAAACCTAACAGTGCAGAAGTCTCTGGTCCAGGCTGAGGAGCTTGTCAGGAGTGCTGCAGACCTGGAGAGGCTGATCAACGAAACACAACTCAACAGTTCTGCTGTTCAACTGGCAGCAATGGGCATCCTCAATAACACACAGGGATATCAGGTAAAGGAATTAGCATTTATGTATGTACAAAACAAAATTCGATGTTGTTGTCAATGAGTATACAGATAGAAGGATTTAAGTCATCTAGGTATGTTTTTTTAGTCTCACTGTCACCATCATTGCCTCCTTTAAAATGAAACTATGTCAATCCTTGTAGATACCATAGACCTACTGTAGATTCTATAGTCTAGGCTATTAAATGAGTGTAAATATGCATATTAGTTAATTTGATTTGTATAAATAGTCTGAATTTAAATTTTATAATGTGTGTTTGTGATTGTTGGCAGTGCAATGCTAACATTTTGTAATATACTTCTTTCAGATATTTGCTGGTGCTTCACTGTCCAACATCACTACTGCCCTAGCACAGCTGACTAGCCTGGGACAAATTTTAGAGGAAGTGAGCAACAAGACCACAGAAGCAGGGGAGATTGCCAACAGCACACTCAACATGTCAATACGACAGCTACAGGCATGTATATTATACAACTCATCTTAACACACCTCTGACCTCTCCTATTGATTTGAACTTACTCTATTGATTTGAACTTACTTTATTATTTTGTAATCATCATTATGTACAATGTTTTGTTATCTATGTTTTATTTTATTGACCCCAGGAAGAATAGTGCTTTTAAGCACTAATGGGGATCGAAATAAACAAACAAACAAACAAACAAACACACATGTCTGTATTTTGTCTGTATTTACAAGAGCAAATTCACAATAATTGTAATACATAGTTCATCTGTGATAAATTTGTGTGTCTTTCTTCTTGCTTTCTGCCTGTAGGACATGGTAAACATCTCCAGCCAGATCAACAGCACCACAGTAGCAGAGGAGCTGGTCAACACCACGCTGCAGGGGGCACAAGAGGGGCTGCAGACTGCACAGACTCTACGGAATGTCACACAGACTGCTGAGTAAGTTACAAAGGGATTCAGGCTTGTATACAGAGCCATTTCATTTTGGCTTGATTGAATGAAATAGTAAACCAATTGCAACAATGGCTTAGTACTAGGTAGAGCGTTTACCTTACATACACGACTGTTGATCATGGGTTTGATCTCTGCTAGCCATTGAGTCATACAAAGGTAAAATTTAATGTTACAGCACTAAATGAAAAAGTTTGTAATTTGATCACACACAACTACCATTGGATTAGCCGCAGTGTGTACAGTTTTGTAATCTCTGCCTTATACACCAGGCTAAAGAAGGAAGGACGTATACCATTACCTTGTCTTTTATACGAAAAATTTGTTTTTTCAACTGATTGAAATTGCTTGACAGGGAGGAAGCAAGGAGAGCCCAGTCCCTGGTACAGCAGATTGAAAATTCGCTTGTGGACAGTAATGAGACCAGGCAGGATGTCAGGACAACTCTGCAGACCCTGGAGACTGACAGACAAAAGATACAGAACATCACAGAACAGGTAAAATAACAGTGAGAACATTATGCTGTTAGATTTCCTTTTGGATTTTAGTACTCAAATGATCAGTACATTCAATTGATAGATAGAGTTACATCCAATGAAATTTTAGGTACCAGTCTTTTCAGCAAAGTTGACAAACTAACGTCTTTTCATAGAAAAGCTCAGGTTGATTCCAAAACATCTTTGGGCTAAATCTTGGGAACAAATTATCATGTAGGTATGTATAAATTCCAGTAAACTAGCCAGTATTTTTTACTTGATATTTTACGTCTAGAATGTTATGCCTAACAAAAACTGTTCCTCCATCCTCTGAAACAGGTTACAAGGACAGCGGAGACATCCCATGCCCAGGCCAGCACCATCCTGTCTGATGTGTTCCTAGTGAGAAATGAGGTGGACATGCTGCAGCAGTGTTTTGTGCAGGGCAGACTGGACGTTCTGCAGCTAGCTAACACAGCGCAGGGCATTCACACAGTCTCTGAATCAAACACACAGGTAGGAAAGATTACATTATGATGTCATTTTGATGCCCACCATGGCACCTGCTGAATATTTTGCAGAAACAAATTAAAGCAAAAACAATTTAGGGATTGTTTTTTTATGTTCATCCGTGAGTGTGAATCCATCTGAGGTGCAACACAACTATAAGGAGTCTGTCTTTGACTCATTTTGCATCAGCCAACCTTTTCCATTTATTGAAGAATTATTGGTAAGACTATGAAATAACATTAAAAGTCATACTGATAGAGAAGAAATGAAATTAGGAGTGGGGTTACCTTGGAAATGACAATAACAAGCCATTTTAACATGAAAGCAGTAACCACATATATAGGACCATTATGCATTAACCAAAATGTGCTTGTTTCCAGATGATGAATGCGACCAAACAGCAGTTGACTGAAGCACAGACTCAAACAGCCTCCCTGGTGTCTGACAGTGAGGCCCTCCAGCAGGAGGCACTGGAACTGCAGGATAATGCATCTGCTGTTGCTGAGGAAATGGCCTCACTTCAACAGGTGGCAGAATTACAAGGTACTACAAAATTACTCGTTCTTGGGTATGTGTCGTAAAAAACAGAAAATCAGTAATCTAGGGTAACAATGGGTCTGATAATAATCCAAATTTTATGATGTTACTTGATATAACCAAGTGTTTTGGGTAATGTAACCGAATGCCTCTACATGGTTGTGGAGATGATGTGTTGCCATGAAGGTCTGTTTTACTGGTTGACATGAGCAGATACAGAAGAAAAGCAAATAAACATAATGACAATTTAACAGTAGGTACCACCTCTTATAACATGTCTGTTTTTGTTCTAGAAAACGATGTGTATTTCTATACTTCTGTCTGTTAGAGATCATGTTAATTCCATGCACAGACCGTTTTTGTCCATAAGTATATTATATATTCTTTATAAAATATATTTCAAAGAATAAATAAATGTGATTTCTCAGACTCTAATGCTCTGATGCTGAATTTTTGTGTGCTGTTCAGCCCTGCTGGATGACTACATTGCGGGGAAACAGGAGATGGAGGACCTGGAAGCAGAGATGGCAGCTCTGGAGGGGCAGATGGACTCTCTCATCGCCAGCTTTGAGGCAGCAGACCCATCCACACAGCAGTGTAGCAACCCTTGAGCATTCAAAAGATCTGAACAATCTTAAAGAAAAAATGAATCCTTGTAAATAGAAGAAATAGTTCCTTTATATGAATGGTGCTAATCATGTCATAAATGTGCCATACAGTAAAGATTCACTTACCTGGAGAAATCCAATGATTCAGTCGTTTGGTCGTAATCCGTCATATGCTGCTTAAACAATATAAAGAAATACCTTTTAAAATATAACTTGAAAGAAAGGAAACAGGATCATATACATCAAAGCAATAGGAATAGAAAGTGTTTATTATGTGCAATAAAATGTGAATCTGACTTCGATTGCTTTATTTGAATTAACATGGTATATATTCCCACAACTGCCTTTTCCCCAATATCCCGAAAATGAGTGTGTATATGCTGTATCTTAGATGTCATTCATGAATAATTGTACTTGGCAGCTGGCTGCCTTCATCTCAATACATAACTGAAAATATATTTGACGTTACTCTTAAATGTATAATATTCACTTCTGTGGGATGCATGTATATGTAAATTTAAAAACCATAACAAATATAATAAAGTCGTCATAAAGAAATGTTGCTTTGACATGTTGTTCATCATTTGAGGATAATCTTTTCAGGTGTTAAGTGCATTTGTAATCTAGCCACAGTCACAGATAAACCAGGAGGCCGATTCAAGCTTTTTGTGAATAACCAAGGAGGTTTAAAAGAAGTGACCTTGGAATAACAATTTGAAACCTTTTTTTAAACAAACATTTTAAGCAAGCAAAATGATCAAAGTCCTAAAAAACATACAAACATGACATAAACAGAGCTGAAAATCTTGAATCATACATGTAGGCAAAAATCAATAAACTTTAATTTAAGTTTAAATACCTAGGAGGAAGGAGGATGAAAATCTAGTCATAGACATCATTTGGGTTACCAGGTTTACGATGAGGTCAAAGGTTGCTACTGTAAGGTCAAAGGTTATGCGTGGAAGGAAAAAGGAAAACAACATCTGGGTCGTGAAAAATTTTTCTCGTCTTTGCCGACGTCATAGCTGTCGTAACTTACACCAGACGGTCCAGATTCTTCAGGTAAGATTTTATAGTAATGATATGATCACACGCTTATTTGGAGGCTGGACTGGAGTGAATTTTACGTGGCTTTTGAGCGTGTCCTATTTACCAATGATCAAGGGGGAGGGGGGCAGAAATTTAAAGCCACACAAAACATAATGTGAATCTGTATTTAAACGTTACTTTATTATATGTGACTCAGCAACGTTACCTGTGATTAAAAAGAGATATGATCATTTTTCTCAAGTCACTGGTGAAGGCTCAGTCATGACAAGAATGTTGGGTGGCCTTGAGTGGGGTAAATATGTAAATTTATTTATTTATTTATGACAATTTACCATATTTGTGGAAGGATTGACATAACAGGTGACTATCACCTTTTCAAAGATGTCAAACCTGCTGAGACCAGACTGTAATGTTTGAACCACTCACACCGGGAAGGTCCCCTACTCTTTTCGATAAGTGTGGTGGGTTCTTTAACGTGCGTGGGGTGTGGCTTTCCCAAACACGGGACCTCCATTTAACGTCCTATCCGAGGGACGTCCCTAGCCGAAGCTAGGTACTCATTTTCACCTGAGTGAGGTGAGGAAAGTCGTGTTAAGTACCTTTCCCAAGGGTACAACGTCGGGGCGCATGTTCGGACTTGTTCGGGTACGACCCGGAATCGAACCCGGGTCTCCCCGTTTCATAGTCCAGTGATGTACCACTACACCACACGACGCCACGTTAAATGAACATGTACAGAGCCCTGGCGACACTTTGTTGACATATTGTACTGGTTGTATAATGTTCTATAGCCCTCACAGGTAAATTCACTGGCCCCTACCCCTTTAACTGATATGTTGTTGTTATAATTATTATAATACTAATAATAACGTTATGTTTAATTTCCAGCCTGATTTAACCATGGCCATGGAGGCCCATCCGCCGTATGTCCACGGGCTGCTGCCGTGTAGTCTGCAGAGGAAACTCAATCAGCAGAGACTGGCAGGTAAGTTATCTATAAATCTGTGGTAAATAACTCATACGGCTAGTTATCATGTAAATTGTTGTGTTCTTTCAGTGACATCTGAGTATATTTGTCAGTTGAAGATACATTGTACATACATACATTTTTAATGGATGTGTAGATTTGCTAGCTTCTGGGGTAAATATTGCAAAGATGCGGGTTCCAGTATTCTTAATGTTTTCATAATGCTACCACTATGTTAAGTAAGGTTGAAAAATGGCTAATACTGGCCAACATAGAATTTGAGGACTTCAACACTTTGTAAATACACATAGCAAATAGATTGTACTGAACGAACAGAAACAACACTTTTTGCATTCATTATGATTTTCTCTCTTCTAGGACAGTACTGCGACTTGACCATAAGGGTGCGGGATGGATCGTTCCATCTTCACAGGTGCGTCCTGGCTGCCTTCTCCTCCTACATTGCCCAAATGGACTCTTCCAGCCAACCCCTGGTCATCGAGCTCCCAGTCCTGACCTGCCGAGGTGTTCAGCCTCTCGTGTCTTTCCTCTACACCTCAAAGCTAGAACTGGACAGTGACAACATCTTCGAAGTCTACACTGCAGCCGGGTATCTCCATCTTCAAGAGGCCATCAACGACTGTGTCGACTTTCTCCAGAAAGTAAAGAAGCAAACTGCAAGCTCGGAAGGACAAGGGGATGTCTTGGAGGCCACAAGCACAAGCAGGGGCGAAGACGGTTCAGAGACTCCTACACCTGTTGTCTCTGCTAGCCCACATCCCTCGACAGTTGCCTGTAGTCCAGCTGGCCCCAGTGAGTCGGGATCATCTGTTATCAAGATTGAGGACTCAGGAAGCTGTACAGGCTGGGAGGAGTTCTCAGGGTTCGACGAGCGTAGAGAACCTTCAACAGTCAATGTAGAGACTGAGATTCTCTCAGCAGAGCACGACATCACAGAGGCAAGAGCTGGGAATGTAGACCAGGCATCAAAAAAACGACAGTCCACAAGAAACAAAGACATGTTTCCTGAAGCAGAGGGTTTGGACAAAAGGGGCACCCCTAACATAGCACTACCACACCAGTACATAGTTGTAAGCCCTGGAGACCAAAATAGACACAGTACAGAGATGGACATTGGTGCCAGTGCAAGCACAGACAATCTGTTGATCCCCAGTATGACAAGTTCACAGAGCATTGTCAACTCTACATCTTATCCTGTGGGAGATGCGTCGAATGCCGGTTACACGTACATGTACGGCCCTGGTCTTGTGAACGCAGGAGCGAACAGTGGACAAAGCAGCGGTACGCGAAAGGGAGGGGACTGCATCTGCCCGCTGTGTGGATGTGGTTTTAGCAGGAAGTCAACACTGAAGGTTCACATGAGGACGCACACGGGCGAGAAGCCGTACCACTGCAGCATGTGTCCGGCACGCTTCTCCGTGAAGTGTAACCTGAAGCAGCACGTGAAGAGCATGCACCTACGTGACAGGCCGTTCAAATGTGACCAGTGCCCGGCCGACTTCACTCAGCAACAACGGCTCTCGAGACACATAGCAGATTATCATACAGACACTGGCTGAACCACATTTGTCATGCATGTGACTGTATAAGAGAGACAGAACACAACCTTTTACCTTCCAAAACCATTGACAATTGCAAGTATCTATGACAGCACCTGCGCGACAGGCCGTTCAAATGTGACCAGTGCCCCGCCAACTTTACACAGCAACAACGGCTCTCAAGACACATAGCAGATTATCATGGGGACACTGGTTGAGTTATAAGTTTCTATTATAATTTTTGTGATAGTTAGCTGTATCAGTGAAACAGAACATGACGTTTTACCTTCCAAAACCATAGACAAGTATCTATGACACTGCCTGTGTGACAGGCCCTTCAAATGTGACCAGTGCCCAGCGGACTTCACACAGCAACAACGACTTTTGAGGCACATAGCTAATTATCATAGAGACACTGGTTGAGTCATATTTGTCATGCAATATTTTGATAGGTGGCTGTATTAGTTAGCCAGAACATGACGTATTACTAGTAACGTTACCTCACAAAACCATAGACAAGGATGAATGACATTGCCTGTGTGACAGGCTGTTCAAATGTGACTTTACACAGCAGAAACAACTCATTCATGAGACACATAGCAGATTATCATGAAGCCACTGGTTGAACCACATTTATTATTTTTTTGAGATAGGTGGCTGTATTTGTTAGCCAGAACATGGCATTTTACCTTCCAAAACCATTGACAAGGATCTATGACAGGCTTTTCTGTCATAAGGCTCTGATTATGTTTTATGATGCACTGGTTTCTAAGAATTCAAAGTCCTCAGCCAAATTCTAAGGTTACCACGCTAAAAACGCTACAGCAAGTTTGTTACTGGACCTAAATTTAAGGTGTCAATGAAGAGAAAGAATTTTGTTATACTTTCGAAACTGTAGTATTGAGTATTTTGCACTATAATGGTATCTTTTATTTTATCATATTATATGTACATGTATTTGTGAAGATATTTTAGACATTTTATCAGTCTAAATTACTGGCAGTTTTCCATGCCTGAACTGACTGGTGTAAAACTTTTACTAACTACTCTAAATAGATAGCTTGTGGTAATTAAACTTTTGATAATATTATGATTCTTGAGTTTTATTTAATAATAGACTGTTTTCAGCTGACATATACAAAAATCACAAAATTGAATAATCTTCAAAATAAGTAAATATTTTCTTTCTTTGGTTCCACTGTTGAAAGATTGCATAAGTGTTAACTAAACACAGTACCAAGACTCCATGCAACCCAAAAATTTCTTATCGGCCAAAATACTTTCACGAAGCAATCTGCACACAGCAGTAAAAGCTGGATTGCAGAAAAGTGCTCTGTGTACAACTAAAACACAATTTGTACAAAGTCTGACTTGTTTGCAGTTCTATAAAACGAAGGTCAAATACCAATTCGCCATATCCGTATTGTGATTTCTTGTCTCAATGTCAATGGGCAGTCAACTGCAGTGCCTCAGCACAAAAGGCACTTTCGCACAAAGGCTGATGGGAGATGTTGGCAGGTGCAGGTAAATATATCACTTTCAATGTAATGTCGGCGACAATATTAATACCATAGAGTGCATCACGATTAATAATCTTTCATTTCGAATTAGATATGATTCGTTTCAGAAATATAATGAGGAGTCACAAGCTCAAAAAGCTGTCTCTCCTGTTGCTGTTTTCGACGGCGGGGAACACCTTTAATGCGTGCTTCATTACATAAAAAGTATACTTAATTTGTCAGTGATCACTTCTCACAAATTCAGATTCCAAATCTAGTGAAGCTCGAATAAAAATGCCTGTCAATTTACCGTTAAGCGTTGCCGACCGTCCTAAATTTACCGTTAACCGTTGCCGACCGTCCTGAATTTACCTTAACCGTTGCCGACCATCCTGAATTTACCTTAACCGTTGCCGACCGTCCTGAATTTACCTTTAACCGTTGCCGACCGTCCTGAATTTACCGTTAACCGTTGCCGACCGTCCTGAATTTACCGTTAACCGTTGCCGACCGTCCTGAATTTACCTTAACCGTTGCCGACCGTCCTGAATTTACCTTTAACCGTTGCCAGGACCTCCCCATGCAGACCCTCAATAAGACCTGTTGCTGGCCTGGCAGAGGCTATTAATAACACGTGATTGGTCCGTGACGTTGATTCCATTTCAGTTACTGACAATACTATTACACGTGCTTAACGCACATGCGCAAGCAGCCGTCGCTAAGCGCCAATAACAAACAAGTTCGAGGCGGCCACATAGTCACGACTGGGAACTTGGCGTTGTGTAACAAGAAACAGAGTTACAAGGTAAGAAATGTACCTGATACATTATCAAATTTTTGTTTATGGTGTTTTCTACTTAATTATTATTGCTTGTTCACCGTTCACTGTGTTCACCGTTTAAGGGCCTATCGGTTCATGCTATTTGATGAGGAATTCACTATGGTCTATCCCAATCCGATGCGCTATGATTCCATGTACACTATTTTAAAAGTACTGACATGGAAATCTCGTTTTCTACATTTTTCTAAATTTTTCTACATTTTTCTACATTTTCAAAAGCGTTTTCTACATTTGGCAGAAAAAAGGATAGAAATACTGGAATATTATCCAGAGAAAAACTCGGTTGCCATGGCAACGGAAAATCTACTTTCAATTAGTCTCACTAATATTGCCTACTAATATTAAGCTGGTGTATTGCGCCGAAGGGCGGTTATATCGGTTATACCTATACAGATACCCATGGCCATCTTCCCATTTATTTGTGGATTTGAAAAGTAGAAAAACAACCTGTTTGACCGAATCAGACTTAATTCTTATTATTAATGATATTATGTACGTTTAGCCCTTTAAGCCTCTCGAATACGCGCCGTCTTATCATGTTTGATCATACTTCTCCAACCTAAACGACTGTATCAACTGTAGATTGGGGTCTGGAAAGGTAGACTTGATAAATTAGACATGCCACAAAGCTTTCTGTAAAACTTAGGCTAGTAATGGCCTAGCAACATGTGTAACAACATGTACACTCCATCGATTATTCATATATTTTTATATACCCCGCCCGACAGGGACGACGGATGATGATGACATATACTAGACACTATCGTGTGGTCGTTCAATTATATATGTATTCAACATGTCCGCCCAATTATATCTGTAATCAATATTTCCACCCCCGCAAGCATACAGAAATTATTGATTAAGAGTCAGCTGCAACACGATAGTACAAAAGTATGATGGATTTGTGCTGCTTAATTCGTACGGCAAGATTCTTTTTTAACCAGAAACATAAAGATAAAAGAATAGTTCTTCAATGACATTGGAACCTACGCAGCTTTGGCGGAAACTCTAAAGCAGGGTTTCATATCTTTCAGTAAACAGTTTTTGCATCAGCCGACCTAGCTTTGCCCTCATGGCATATGTAACATGTAAACCTACGTTTGAAATATCGCATTTGCCAATGTGGGAGATGGATCACTACAGAAGGTTTATGCGATGGCCAGAGATTGCGTATTCAGTTGGCAACGTTAATGTGAATCGTAACATTGAAAAAGTCGCTGACGTTTCATCCATTGGAACGTGACGATTTGTCCGCAATGTCATTAACATCTTTTCCGTTGTTACAGGAGAATCATAGCAGAGCATGGCCGGTTTTCCGTACGGCGCTGTCCGAGGTCTGGGCGGCATGCAGATTTTCTTGGGAATCGCTGCCATGGGGCTGGGGGGCGGCGATCTGGCCATGAGCCTTTCATTCCCCGGCCCCAGATACGTCGGATACAACGGCCGGTTTTTTCTCGGCGTGCTAGGTACTGGCATCTGGACAGGCCTATTTGTAAGAAGCTTACATATTGTTTTACGTATTTATTCAACTCCCCTCTAATGATAAGTTGGCACAATAGACTGAACTTTGCACTGAACCCTACATTGTTGTCCTATTGAACTATATATAAAAGTGTTCTTCAATGCTAGTTGCCATATTTAGAGATTTCATGATATGCATCTTTACATGTGACAAGTCTACTAATCGTAAGGGTAACAGAATCTCTAGAATATGTAGATTATATTTAAGGGATTGCATGGGGAGGTCCTGGCAACGGTCAACGGTAAATTCATCAGGGCCGGCAACGCTTAACGGTAAATTCAGGACGGTCGGCAACGCTAAATTGACAGGCATTTTTGTTCAAGCTTGGTATCAGAATTTTCGAGAAAAAGTGATCCCTGATAAAATTAAGTATATCTTATGAAGGACGCATTATAGGTACTTCACACTAGTTACCTTCGCCAAGAAGGTTATGTTTTCAGGGGCGTTCGTGTATGTGTGTGTTTGTGTGTGTGTGTGTCTGTCTGTAAACACGATAACTTGAGAAGGCCTTGATGGATTGTCTTGATACTTGGTAGGTGGGTAGGTCTTGATGAGACCTCAAAATGATCAGATTTTGGACCCCCTAGCGGCTTGTTATGGTATTGCAGCTGAACTTCCGGTTTTGATATCTCATGATCTAGACATGCTATGGTGATGAAATTTGGATGGTAGGTAGCTCTTGTGCTGGGGAAGAAGTGACGTGAGTTTAGGCCCCCTAGCGGCTTGCTCTGGAACTGCAGGGATATATTCTTGAAAATATTCAAAAGGGGATAACTCAAGAACCAGTTGACGGATCGTTGTGGTTTTTGGTATGTAGGTAGCTTACGTGATCCTTAATATAATTATGTGACAATTATGCAAATATGGATGTAATTTGCATAATTTATGAGGAAATTCTATAAATCATCTGCATTCCATGATAGGACAATTGAAGCTTGTGACATTGGTAATTGACAACGAGAGAAACACGGGAAGATATTGATTATGTTAATAATGACCTAATTTGCATAATTAATGAGAAAATTTTATAATTATGTAATGATAACTGCCTGGAATTTCATACTTGTGGTATTTGAAAGTTAAATTGAGGTGAACATCATCAAACATAATTTATTCAAATCAGGACCTCATTTGCATAATTTATTAGGAAATGCTAGAATGCATTGTTTGTTAATATAAGACTGTCTTTTGGTTGAGATTATGATAAAATGATATAATTCATGAAAATTAGGTTCCTATTTCTTAAATCAGGGGGGAATAATCTAATCTATAATTTGTCAGTCATAAAGATTAACATCATTTGGCGAAGGTATGAGATCGGGGAACTCTAGTGTTTCCTGTGTTTCCAGCCGTCGCAAACAGCAACAGGAGAGACAGCTTTTTATCTTGTGACTCCTCATTATATTTCTGAAACGAATCATATCTAATTCGACATGATAGATTATTAATCGTGATGCACTCTATGATATTAATATCGTCGCCGACGTTACCTTAAAACGTGACATTAAAGGTATTAAATTCTATTTCAGGGCGGCAAATCAAAACAAAAAACTCAGGATGAGGACACCTGTATGATATTGACATTTACTGTCATTTCTGAACACATTTTCGTCATCATTTCAAACTTTAACCATTTGAAATAGCCCCAAAACAAGCTACGTGAGGCACCTCTTATTTACGGGTAACGCCTAGTATGAATATAATGTAGCTGTAACCAGAAGCGACAGCCTACGCTACAAAACAAGCACATCTCATTTTTACCCCAGAGATATCAATGTAATTTGGAATAGCTAGGATTCAACTTACTACATTGAAAGAATTACCAAAAAATTGACTTTGAAAATTCAGTTTTGCCACTCAGACATACCTTTAAGTTGTGGTCCACTTTTCATATTGCCTGTCGAAAAGAGCTAGCTAGGGGAACGTTCCCTGTGCAGTGAACCTGTAAATTTTGTACATGGCGTCTGTAGTCCCTGTCAAGACCACTAAATCTGTCACGTTCTCTTGCTTCATGCTTAGTTCCTGATAGCAGGCAGTCTGGCAGCTTCCATCAGGGAGGGGAGAACTGCTGGTTGTATGGTGAGTACACTGTACACTCACATTATTAAGTCTGGTTGACAGTTTAATTGACCCGACGGCAGGACAGTCTGATATGGGACCGGTGAGGTGAGGTGAGGTCCATCAGTACGGAGTTATAGAAACATACAACAAACCATGAGCATACCAGACATTGGTGATTATTTATCACTAAAGTTGCAATGTAAAGCGGTCTATACTGTAAATGCAATCTTGTTGTTTTAGATTTTTACCTTGTGGTCTGTAACATATATAGCAACTGTCCTTAATTTCAGATCGGTGCGGCCCAAACCATGTCTCTGCTCAACGCTGTCGTCTTCGCACCTGGACTGGCTTCTGTTTCGGGGTTCAGCGTTGCCATGGTAATACATGTATTTAGTGAAATGTTTTGTAAAAAAAATACAAGGCACACACGGTATATTGTTTCAGAATCAGCTGCGTATTAATTCAGAATACAGCGCAAACTCATAATCAGTACATACTAGGACTAGGGTCACGAATTCTGAATTGTGCTATCAATGGCTGACATACTTACATAGCACACACAAACATTGTTTTGATATCATTTGCAGAACCACTGGGAGTGGTTATACGGCGTTCCCGACCATAACCCTCCATATGGCACCTATTATTACCCTGAGCTCGGTGTGATGACCTATCTGGAGAGCACCCTTGCCGTTGTTGGATGCTTGGAGTTCATCTTCTCCATAGCAACGGCGTCTGTGTGCTGCTGTGGCGGTTCGTACGACCAGCCTGCTGCCAACCAGGTGAGATTTTGTCAATGAAAACTGTAAGTACTGCATTCAGGAATTAGTTTGTATACAAATATTGTATCCAGATAGTCTTAGTCAGGAGGACGTACATGCCTTTGCTTTCAAAAATGCAATTGCACTTATCTAAACACATCTTAACATTGATATAAGAATGTCGCTTTGTTTCTTAGTGCTGTCCTTTACGTGGACTCTACATCTTGTATAACATGCAATTATCTCGACTAGAATCGCAATTTAAATGAAGCGGATACAATGGCCATTTCCCTTTTGCCACAGGTTGTCCCTATGCCGATGGTGGCTTTCCAGACCGCCTCACAGCAGCCTGCAACCAGGTATGACTTTGCGGAAACGTTGGATAACAAAATGCTACCACTTACAGACTGACATCTTTTAAAATGAACTGAAAACGCAATCAGATCCGTGGCATTCTGATTGTGTTTTCAGATATTCTCTTTTTAGAAAGCAATATGAAATAAAATATTTTATGAAATATCTTTTCCATAACTTGTGAAGATAATCTATGGTTTTCCAAAGCCTTGCTAACCTATCTTCTACCTAACAATTTTTCTGTCAATAGGATTTGTATATTTTTTTTAAGCCTACGTGTTGTTTTGTTCATATTTCAGACCCAATTGGAACATGGCCAGGGGACCACCGGGCGTAGCCACAGGAGGCGACGGGCAGATGGTGACCATCACCGCCGCCGAACTCGGCATGCTGTACGCTAAGGCCAACAACATTACCCTGGAGGAGTAGTTACAACTTACAATGAATGAATGAATGAATGAATGAATGAATGAATGAATGAATGAATGAATGAATGAATGAATGAATGAATGAATGAATGAATATTTACGTGTCATTTCAACCATACGTCGCCCAGCCCATATTGTTCAGCACTGTCTTATTGACGTTTTTAGTGTAGTCAGTTTTAAGTTAACCACCTTTGGAAAGAGTTTTTGGCACCAACCCTGCTTTGCATTTGGTGAATCTGGCGACACTGGCTGAGTTATATTTGTCATGCAATATTTTGTAAAAGGTGATCATGTAAGTGAGACTGAATACAAAATGCATGGCGTCTTACTTTCCAAAACCATTGTCAAGGCTCCAGGACTGCCTTTTCTGTCATAGGACTCTGATTATCATGCATGAAGCATTGGAGATTATACACCTCGAGTCATAAACCAATTTTAAGGTTACCATGTTAAAACCTCTACTGCAAGTTTGTTACTCGATCTACATTTCAGGTGTAAATGAAGAGAATTTTTAAAATACTTTTAGAAACTGTAGTCTTTAATATTTCCTACTATCATGGTGTCTTAATGTCATATTATATGTATTTGTAAATATATTTAAGATAGATATTTAGTAGATATTTAAGATAACTTAAGAGTCTAAATTACTGGCATTTTTTCATGCTTGAACTGACTTGTGTTGTAAAGCTAAATACATTTTACTAACTAGTCTATATAGATAGTTTGTGGTAATAAAAATTTTGATACCATGTATGATTAATGAGTTTTATTGAATTATGATTGGCTGTTTTCTTCAAGCTGACACATACAAATATTACAAAATAGAAGTACTAGTAATCTTCAAAAAAAGTAAAATTTTTCTTTCCTTGGTTTTGCTAATATGTATGTTATCTAAACACAGTGCCAAGCCTCTATGCATATACTCCAACCCAAAAATGTCTTATCGGCCAAAATACTTTCACGAAGTATTCTGCACACAGCAGTAAAAGCTGGATTACAGAAAAGTGCTCTGTGTACAACTAAAACACAATTTGTACAAAGTCTGACTTGTTTGCAGTTCTATAAAACGAACACTTGGGTCAACAAGGTCAAGGCCAATTCGCTATATCCATATTGTGATTATATCTAAATCTGTCTTGAACTATACGCTACTCGGTTGTTTTCTAATTATATTAAACGTGAACAACGTTCATTCAGCGATCAATGTGTCAGCTTCGTGGCGATATATTGCCCCTTGACCTTATGCTAGTGTTGTGCTGAAATTTGGACTTTGATAGTCTCTACCAGACCACTTGTAACTACGCTGGATGTGGGGAGAATAATTTGCCATCCTGAGAGTAGTTTGCATTTTTCCGCGCAGTCAAGGAGAAATATTACCCTTACAGCAGCTTACTCCCCTGGCTAATTATTTACATACTTCTGCTGAATTCTATTCAATTTATTAATGACTAGCCTTTACCAGCCCATCTAACCGGGGCACAATGCTATAAAGGGAAGAATAATTGGCCAAGAGAGTCAGTTGTTAATTTCCCCTCTGAAATTATCAATTATTTCACATACATGTATTTGGCTGTTTTACTATTTTTAACCCGCGGTGTTAGTCTGGTGGAGGCTGTCCATGACCCTTCAGGAAGGCCTGGTAGAGGCTATTAGTAACACGTGATTGGTCCGTGCAAGCACTTCACCTTCTTGAACTTAACGCACATGCGCACAGTGCTGTCGTCAAGCGTCAGTAACCAGTAAACCAGTTAGAAGCGGCTCCGATTGCGTTGTTTAACAAGAAACAGAGTTACAAGGTAAGAAATTTACCTGATACATGATCAAATTTTTGTTTATGGTGTTTTCCACTTTATTATTATTGTTCGTTCACTGTGTTCACCGTTTAAGGGCCTATCGGTTCATGCTATTTGATGAGGAATTCACTATGGTCTATCCCAATCCGATGCGCTATGACTCCATGTGCACTAATCTAAAAGTACTGACATGGAAAACTCAGACGTTTTCTACATTAAGCAGAAAAAAAGGCAAGAAAGACTCAAATATTCTTATCCATTCACACGAGAAAAACGTGGTTGCCATGGCAGCATAAAAATTACTTTCAATTAGTCTCACTAGTATTGCTACCCGTCTTCCCAATTATTTGTGGATTTGTTTTTTCCAACATGTGGAAGTTTTCAAATCCTAGACAAATCAAACAGTAAAAAAACAACCTGTTTTGACTGAATCAGACTTAATTCTTATCATTATGTACTTTAGCCCTTTAAACCCCTCGACGCTATCAGATAAAACGGTCAAATACGCGCCGTCTTATCGTGTTTGTTCATACTTCTCCAACCTAAACTACTGTATAAACTGTAGATTAGGGTCTGGAAAGGTAGACTTGATAAATTGGACATGCCAACAAGCTTTCTGTAAAACTTAGGAACGGCGCGAAGCTCGCGCGCAGAAACACTCCTTCAATTAGCCCTACAATTATATTTGTAATCAATATTTCCACCACCACCACTCAGCACACACAGATTATTGATTTAAAATCAGCTGCAACATTTTTCAGCTAAATAGTAGGAAACTGGGGTGGATCAAATGCGCTCTATATGTTCAACCAGAAACATGATGAAGATAAAAGAATAGTTGTTCAATGGCATGGGAACCTCCGCAGCTTTGGCGGAAACTCTAATGCAGAGTTGAATAGCGCTAGCTGTTATCTTTCACGTTCAGTAAACAGTTTTTGAATCAGCCGACCCAAAGTCTGAAAGTTGACAAAGTATGAGTTGTCTGAAGATTGATTGAGCCCAAATACAGTCCAGAATCCAGAGTTACGAGCACGATGTTTGCTCTGGACTTTAAAAATTGCCTCACGCGGACTTCAAACGTCCTCTTTTATTTAAAATACCTTTGGCTTCTAACGGTCGTTTGCACAACTGAAATGCGCAGGCCGTCATGAAACAAACCATGGTTTTTTTCTCAGAATCAGTCGGTGTATTGTTCTAAGAAACCTACTCGTGATACATGTATACCTATTTTTTAAAATCCCAGACATCATTGAAGCAAGGAGTTGGCAAAGGTGTAAAAGAAATCCCGAAGATAGCAAGTTGAGATAAAAACAGCTTACTGTATGCATCTAACACTTTTGTTGTTGGTCAGCTCAAAAGAAAACGCACAAAATTCACTATAATGAACCTGTCCTTGTTTTATTTTCATGTTGGCAAAAAAGGGCTACACTCAATTTCTGTGGTGGTGAAAAAAGGTGTACGATGTGTATTCACTTGCAAACTTGCTGTTGTCTTATCTCACCAGCCGTCGATGTGAACACTTTTGTTGGTGGCCTACCGCAAGAATGATTTTATGATTTTATGTTTGACATCGAAAAAGCCTTGAACCCTTATCAAAATAACAGACTTCTATATACCTGTTTTTCGTGTTTGGCGTTTCAAGCAGATCACAAAATGGCCGGTTTCCCGTACGGCGCTGCCCGCGGCCTGGGTGGCGTGCAGATCTTCCTGGGACTCGCTGCCATGGGGCTGGGGGGCGGCGATCTGGCCATGGGCATTTCTTCCACCTGGCTCTTCGGTCACCGTTTCCGTCTCTACATGCTAGCTACCGGCACTTGGACAGGTTTATTTGTAAGGAAATGTTTTTCGTATATTTATTTAACTCGCCTCTCAGTAGCTGCGCTGCATGTTTTTCTCAAAGTAAAGTGTTCTTCAAAGCTAGTGTCTAAATGTACAAATGTCACGGTTATGCATCATTGACAGCCTATGTATTAAGATTAATGAGATATTTTGCACAAACATAGGTCAAGTGTCTACGCAAATGATATTTGGCGTTTTAATTGTAAAGGGAATGGGATACTCTGTCATCAATAGGAGGTTGATATGTTGAGAAGTTTAACGAACGTTATGCCACGCCTTTGCTGTAATTTGGCTAGTCTTATTCCTGAAATTCAGTATAAATCACCATACTATTGTAAAGTCAGGTACTGTATACAAACTTAACATTATCTGACTTTTCTACCATTGCTTAATCCAACGTTTCATGCAGTGAATGAGTTATGAAATTAACACGAATTCGTTTTGTGTAATATACATGTATGTACATGTCCTGAATCTGTAACGTTATCATGCCTCATGTTCACATGTAGTTCCTGATAGCAGGCAGTCTGGCGGCTTCCATCAGTGAGGGGAGAACTGTTGGTTGTAAGGTAAGCGTGACGACCGCCATCATCCTCGCTACGGAAAATTGTTTGTTACATTGGAGGAAAATGTATAACTAAATGTACCAGTCGAGAATTTCAAATCCCCCCCGGTTGAGAAATCATAATGAAATAGAGTGTCCATTAGTGGAGTTTCGATACCATACAACAAACAATGAGCATGCCAGACATTGGTGATTTTTTTATCGCTGATGCAAATGTAAAACGGTATATACCGTAAACAAGGTTATATAATAACTAAATTCCAATATATACGGATTTTTTGCATAGTACTGCTTCTCCTACAATCGAAAATTTGTTGTTTTAGACTATTACCCTGTGTTCTGTGTTGTTAAATGTTGACACGCTCCTTCACTTCAGATTGGCGCTACCCAAACCATGGCCCTGCTCAACACTTTCATCTTCGCACCTGGACTGGCTTCTGTTTCAGCGATAAGCGCTATGCAGGTAACATTTTGAAATATCAATCATATAATAAATAGGTATAAATATGTATGACCAATACAACATTACACAGTGGACTACTAATACAACATTGACGACATGAGAATTCGTAGCCAGCTGGCTTGTCTCCAACAGTCGGGTAAAGTTATGGTGTCTCCTTTTTGTAAGAACGTCCCCGTGGTGACTTTTTTATTACCTTCGACAGAAAGTTATGGTATGGTAAGTTTTTGGTAGCGCGCGCGCACGCGCGCGTGTGTGTGTGTACTCGTATGTGCGTGTATGTGTGTTTGTTTGTATATATGTATGTATGTGTGTGTGTGTGTTTGTTTGTATATATGTATGTATGTATGTATGTGTGTGTGTGTGTGTGTGTGTGTGTGTGTGTGTGTGTGTGTGTGTGTGTGATGACATAATTAGATAACATATATTTCTATTTTGAAATGATATCATTTGCAGAACTACTGGGACTGGTTCTATGGCATTTACGACCCTTACTACCATTACTACTATTATCCCTATGCGAGCCATATGATGTTCTACCTGGAGTGCACCCTTGCCGCTATCGGGGGCTTGCAGTTCATCCTCTCCGTAGCAACGGCTTCTGTGTGCTGCTGTGGCGGTTCGTACGACCAGCCTGCTGCCAATCAGGTATTGATCACTTCTTTCAATGAGGACTGGGGGTACTGCACCTTACGTTATGTTCGTCCTGCATTGTAATTATTATCATATTAAACGTACGTGGCTTTTAATATTGTATCTAAATACTCATACTAAATAATCAGTAGCAAATGGTCAAAACACTCATTTGCTCTTTTTCGTAAAAAGAAGAACCCGTCGCATCAATGAAGCAAATATTCCTCTAGCATAACGTTTACAACTCGAACCGTTATTAAGACATTACATGTGGCTCATTATTAACAAAGTAGAGGTACTAATACGTCGGTAAAGGTTAGACATCCAGGTAAGAAGATACGCCAAAAACAGTTACTCAGGCAACTGGATATGATTTTGGAAACGGTCAGGCGTTTCAGGTATCTTCCACTACCTTTCGTCAGTGACACTAGTGTCCATATCCAGTTGCTTGAGTTACTTTTTTTGACGTGGAGGTACTAATCCTGTCCTTTTTTTGCCACAGGTGGTCCCCATGCCAATGGTGGCGTTCCCCACCCCCATACAGCAGCCCGCTGTACCTGCTCCCATGTCCAGGCCGTCCCATGGCTTTGCCCAAATGTAAGAAAGCCATAAAACTACTATTTCTAAGATACGGCAACATTTCTATAAGATACCCATGTACACCCAGCTTCTGTTTATTTGTAATGCTAGCTAGTTTTATTTTGTATGTATCTTTTCATCATGTCTTGTTTTGACCTGTACTTAGCCCAGTGTGGCAAAAATGTGCAATAAAGGTCGTCATTACTTCATTCATTTTATTTTCGCCGAAGCCTAATTGTTTGTTTCTTTTGCTGATATTTCAGGCCCCGCACCTCCGTGCCGGCGGGCGGGACCTCAGGGAACGACGGGCAGATGGTGACCCTCCCCGCCGCCGAACTCGGCATGCTGTACGCTAAGGCCAACAACAGTGCCGTGGAGGAGTAGGGTTCATGGACGTCCATTGTTAAGCGGAGTCTCATTGCGATTTCAGTTCAGTTTTTGTTTCCAAAATCGCTTTTGGATAGCGCCTTGGGTACTAACCCTGTTTTGCATTTGGTAAACCAGATTTTCAGATTCAGTTTTATCCGAACTGTTGGACAGCGTTTTGGCCACTAAAATCTTATTCAATGTGTTCTTACCTACAAGTTTATGTGTGCTATCTGAGTTTAGAACGTTCTATGGGTACTAACCCCCATATTTCGGCATTCTCGTTCAGTGTGTTTTCAGAGAGTTTGATGGATGCTAACTGTTTTTCTAAACAGAAGAGTAAACTGTTAATTTTTTTGCCGTAGCTACATTAACTGAAGTCATTGTCTTACTGTTTGTAACACCATATCCGTATTGTGATTATATCTAAATCTGCCTTGTACTATACGCTGCTCCTTTGTTTTCTTGCCATAAACTCGAACAGTGATCATTCAGCTATCAAAGTGTCAGCTTTGTGACGATATACTGCCCCTTGACCTTAGGGTAGTGTTGTGCTGAAATTTGGACTTGGACATAGTCTCTACCAGACTACATGTATACGCTGTATATGGGGAGAACAGTTTGTCAACCTAAGGGCAGTTCGCATTTGCTCGATCAGTGTAGGAGAAATATTACCCTAACAGCATCTTACTCCCCTGACTCATTATTAACACTATTTTGCCAAATTCTAGTTTATTCATGACTAACCGTCACTAGCCCATCTAACGGGGGTACTAATCGTAGAATTCAGTAAAAAAGGAAGAATGATTGTCCAGGAGAGTCAGTCCGCGGGAAGGTTAATTTCCGCCTCTGAAATGACCAATTATTTCCCCCAATTTGTCTAAATTTTCCTGTTTTGCGACCCACGGTGTTAGTCTGGTGGGGACTGTCCATGACCCTTGAGGAAGGCCTGGTAGAGGCTATTAGCGGCACGTGATTGGTCCGTGCAAATATCACTGCACCTTCTTGAACTTAACGCACATGCGCACAGCAGTCGTCGTCAAGCGTCAGTGCAAGACTCCGCTGTGAGGACTGGTAACTTTGGGTTGTTTAACAAGAAACAGAGTTAATAAGGTGAGAATTTATCTGATTCTCTAAAAAAAGTATTCGTTTATGATGTTATCTACTTCGTTCTTATTGGTTCTTCGCTGTTAATTGCCTACCTCATGTTTACGCAATTTGGTGGGAAACTCACAAACAAAACACACTCCGACGCGTTGTGACTTTAAATCAGAAGATCTAGAAAAAGGGAAGTTGTCAGATTTTCTACATTTAGCAGAAAAAAAGGTTACGAAGACTTTCATCCATTCACACGGGAAAAACGTGGCAATGGAACCGGAAAAACTACTTACAATTAGTTTCTGCATTAATGCCTACCCGGCATCCCGGTTATTATTTTGTTTTCTCTTTCCCAAAATGTGGAAGTTTTTAAATTCCAGGCTAAAGCAGTAAAAAACAACCTGTTTTGACTGAATCAGACTTAATTCGTATCATTATGCACTTCAGCCTTTTGACCTCTCGAAGCTACTCAGATATTGGGGTCAAATATGCGCCGCCTTATCATGCTTCTTCATACTTCTCCAACCTAAACGACTGTATAAACTAGTCTTGGGTCTGGAAAGGTAGACTTGATAAATTAGACATGCCACAAAGCTTTCTGTAAAATGGCGTGAAGCTCACGTGTAACAACGCTCCATCGAATATATACCAGTATACTATCATGTGGTCGTTCAATTATCTTTGTATTCAATATGTCCACACACATTTACAATCAGCTGCAACATTTTCAGCTCAATAGTACGAAACTAGGATGGATCAAATTCACTCTATTGGTACTGTTTTACCGCGATAAAATCCCTTTAACCAGTCACATTGAGACAAAAGAATAGTTGTTCAATGGCATGGGAACCTACGCAGCTTTGGCGGAAACTCTAATGCAGAGTTGAATAGCCGTTATCTTTCAGTAAACAGTTTTTGAATCAGCCGACCCAAAGTCTAAAAGTTGACAAAAGTATGAGTCGTCTAAAGATTGAGCCCCAATAGTACAGTCCAAAATCCAGCGGTACGAGCACGATGTTTACTCGCTTCTTGAAAGAGGACGTTTGAAGTCCGCGTGAGACAATTTTTTTATCTAAAATACCGTTGACTTCAACGGTCGTTCGCACAACTGAAACACGTGTGCCTTTATGAAAACAATTCCCCATGGTGGTTTCTTCGAATCAGTCTGTGTATTGTTCTAAGAAACCTATGCCTAAAGTTTTTAGTTCCAGAGAACTTTTAACCAAGCAGTTGGCAAAGGTGTAAAAGAAATCACGAAGATATCAAGTAGTTGAGAAGTGATAATAGGTGATAAAACAGCTTACCATTTAACACTATTATTTTTTGTGACGAATGGATAAATTTTATCTTCCAACACATAAGAAAATTTGAACCTACCCAAATGCACTTTTGTTGGTCACTTTCTGCAAGAATGGTAATTAATTGGACATCAGAAGGGCGTTAAGCCTTGAACATGAAATCATTGTCTCTAAAGAAAATCAAACAGACTGCTATATATACATGGTTTTCGTGTTTTCCGTTTTTAGCAGATCATAGGCGAACATGGCCAGGTTCCCGTACAGCTCTGCCCGCGGTCTGGGCGGCATGCAGATCTTCCTGGGACTCGCAGCTATGGGGCTGGGCGCCGGCGATCTGGACATAGGCCTTTCAACCATGAGGTACCACGGTCCCGGTTTCCGTCTCTACATGCTGGGTGCCGGCATCTGGACAGGCTTATTTGTAAGAGACTTTTTATTTGAGATATTCATTCAACTCAAGGTTTGTACTATACACTGAACCATGCACTGAACCAAGTATTTCAAAATAATTAAGTTTTCTTCAGTGTGATGAAACGAATCCAGTTGAAATACATCGTGGTGTTTTTAAAGAGGTTACAATAACATGTCTACACGTACCAAAATGATTAACGTTCTCTTATCTTCTGCTTAGTTCCTGATAGCAGGCAGCCTGGCAGCTTCCATCAGTGAGGGGAGAACTGCTGGTTGTAAGGTGAGCGTAACCATCGCCTACAATAGTTTGACGTTAGCGATGAAGAAGCTAAGAGAGCTAATCATATGCCAGAAACTTTTCACACACGGTCAAGAAATCACTATACAGATGCAGTGGCCATCAGTGGAGTTTCAAAAAGATTAAAATGGGCATGCCAGACATCGGTGATTTTTTTTCAATCTTCTTGCAAATGTTAAATAGTGATATTAAAAACTATTATAAATAAATAAATTGTACTTAACAAGGTTGCATCATATGATAGATGGAATCCAATACATACGGTTTTGTGTATCGCACTGATTATCCTACACTGTAACAATGAAATGTGTCTATCTTGTTGTGCTAGAATTGTACCTTGCGGCTGTAACATAGAAAAGTATTAAACGCTCCTTCACTTCAGATCGGCGCCGCCCAAACCATGGCCCTCCTCAACACCTTCATCTTCGCACCTGGACTGACTGGCGTCGCAACAGTCAACTTTATCATGGTAACATTTGGAGAACAGTCATGTTATGTAGTTCGTAAATTCGTAGCCAGTTGGGATATCCCTAATATCCCCAACTATATAGTATTAAAGATTATCCTCTCCGGAAGTACATCAGCAAAGGGGGACAAGTCAGTCGGCAAAAAGTTATGTTGTCTTCTTTTGTTAACATATGCAATGATTCTTTGTCATCCCTGTTTCACAAAATTATATATATACGACGTTCATTAGAAATAGAAAACTGAAATGGATACGAACAATTTAGCCATAATCTGTGTCATCTTCAGTTAATTATATAATTACTGTCATTTGCAGGGATCCACTGAATGGAATTACTCCATGTCCCACGTGTACGAGAACACGATCATATACGTCGACGTGAGTTCCCTGTTCCGTCTGATGACTTACCTGGATGTCTCCCTTGCCGTTGTTGGAGGCTTGGAGTTCATCTTCTCCATTGCAACGGCTTCTGTGTGCTGCTGTGGCGGTTCGTACGACCAGCCAGCTGCCAATCAGGTGCGATTTTTTTCACTGACGACTTGGGGTACTGCAATTAGCTTGTATCTCAAATATCGTATCCAGATAGTCTTAGTCAGGAGAAAGTACAGGCCTTTGTATTTAAAAAATGCACGAATCTGACAACTGTAAGTACTGCATTCATGAATGAGTTTGTATCCAAGTATTGTATCCAGATATACAATTGCACGAATCTAAACACATCTTACCATGGAATATTGTCTCTTTGTTTGTTAGTGCTGTCCTCTACGTGGACTCTACCTCTTGTATGACACGCAACTAGTACGACTAGAACCGCACTTCAAATATAAGAAACCTTTCATTTCTGTCACAGATTGTCCCTATGCCCATGATGACTTTCCAACCTACCATGCAGCAGCCTGCACCCAGGCCATCTTACGGCTTTGCTGAAAGGTAAGCCAGAAATTTACCATTTACAGATAAGCAATGAAATATTTTCGTATAAGATTTGCCTATATCTATATTTAAGGTGCTGTTTTTTTACATATCCATGTGCGATTCCAAAAATGCACTGCACAACACCCTTGGAATGTAAGCTGCTTCTGTCTATGTTTATGTCAGTAGGGTTTGTACAAAAGTTTTTCGTCGAAGCCTAATAATGGTTGTTTTGGTGATATTTCAGGCCCAGCGCCTCCGTGCCACCGGGCGTTGCCACAGGAGGCGACGGGCAGATGGTGACCCTCCCCGCCGCCGAACTCGGCATGCTGTACGCTAAAGCCAACAACAGCGCCGCGGAGGAGTAGGCCTTACAGACGGCCTGTTGTTCAGTGGAGTCTTATTGCGTTTTCAGATAGACTTCTTTCTTTTTTTTAGAATAGTAGAGTTGTTCAAGCCTGGTAGTACATGTAGCTCTGCTCTAGTTTGGTCCGCTCTTCAGTTGATTGACTTCTCTGGACGTAGTGGGTGGTCCAAAGCTTTGTAGTTGTAGACAACGTTAACTAGGTACAAGCTAATTGCTTTTGAAAAGCGTTTTGGGTACTACCTATTGGTTTGGTGAATTTGATTATGTTTTCAGATACAATTTTATCCGAAGCTAGCGACTTCTGCAACACGTTTTGGGCACAAATTCATTCGGAAGCTGTTCGCTATGCGTTTTTATTCAAGTTTACGCATGCTAACTGATTTTAGAATAGAATCTAGGTACTAGTACAAGTTTTTGGCGGATACATTGCCCAAGCCGATTAATTTAGCCACCTATGTCTCTCCTGATGCCGTAACCGAAATTTAAAAAAAATGCAGTAACTGTTGCAGTTGGTCGAGTTCCAATATTTTAGCCTTTCAAGCACCAACGTCTTTGGACTCTCTATCAGCATACACTGTTTTAAATGCGTCTGTTTTGTGTGATGACATTTACCAATAAAGATAAAGATCATACGTTTTATTGCTACAAAGCCCTGTGTTATTTTACAGCACTCTTTGGATTTAGTCCACAAAGAACGCAAAGCAAGTCACAGAAGACGAAACATATCAAACATCTAGATAAACTTTATTGCACAGTCCGTGTATATCACATATTAAGGAAATATTATATTCTTAGTAATTATTAAGACAAATAGCATTTTCCTCTGGCAATACCTTGCTAATGGGTATTGTATGGTCCAAGCTTATGTTGCACAGAGATGTCATAACACCGGGCAATTCGCTTTTTACATCATGTTTACTTTTGTAACACGTGATTGCCTGGAGCAAAAGCTCCACCTATTCAACTGACGGACATGCGCACAAGCGTCTTCAAGCTTGATCAATATGAACACTCCAAGGTTACCATTGGTAAACACGCTCTAAGGACAACTTCAGGACAACTTCAGGACAACAGGAAACTAGAGTTGCAGCAAAGGTAAGGGGCAACCACGATACATTTTAACAAATGTTAGGCTTATTTTTATATGCAGGCCGAATTGCTTCTATCAGCTTTTGTTTAATAGTGCTTCTCCGCTACAGCATACGTGTATGTAAGTGATCAGGGTCCTTATCGCATAAAAAAAATTGCAACGGAATAGATTTCGAAGTCAGTGAACATCAAGAGCGTTCTGATATGCAATTCAACCCTGAAAAAGAAAGCCTGATTCCGTATTGACTGTACCGAATTGAAATGCTATTCTAATATTTAACATTCTGGACTTGTAACCAGCCGACAAACCTGAACAACGTTGTTAGTTTTACCAATTATGTATATAACTACCATTATTCATCTTGCAGACCCAACAAACCATTTTTTTCACTGTTTTTTCGAACGCATGAGCGTTGCTACTTTTTACACATGCTTATCTTGTGACTGGCAAAGAACTGCTAATCTTGTGACTGTTATAAAGAGACTTGATCGATATCATGCAGCTTCATGTCTTAAAAAAAACATCGCTGCTGTAAGGGTCAAATTCAATCACCCGCTTAAGGTTGTAGGATTTGTTGATACAGCTTCACCAGGGCTACCTTACAACTGCGACCTTGGGTTGTGAAAAAGCAGGGTTGATAAACAACCTTTTCGCCAATTCTTTCCGCATAATTCAGACGTTGTTTGAAGGCTACCATTCATTGTTTCCGCGTTGGCGACCAGTTCTGTTTGCTTGCTATATAAAGAAACTCCCCGCTACAGAAGCAACTAAATATACATGCTCAAGTCATTAACCCATTTATTATCGCATTAAACACTCCTGTTGTTTACTTAGAACAATAGAAACGTTTATGCAGTGGCTTGTTTTACCCCAAAGGGTTTATTGCAACAGTGCCTCTGAAAACAAACGTCACGTACGAAAGAAAGAAAAACAACCGTGTGTAGTTACAGTTCTAAGTCTTATTACATTTTCTGGATATAGCAGCTTATATTTCCTAAGATGCGTGTATTTCATTTGGGGTAACATATGTGATACGTGTGGACTATCCAGAATTGTGCCTGTGCATAGTTTTGGATAAAGCACGGTTCTGGATACAACAAAACCCTGTCATATCGGGCACGCCGCTTGTATAATGTATAATTTAGCAATGGTTGGAGTGCAGTTAGACTAGTGTGCCTGCAGATGGCAAAACTGTAAACAACCTTTCTTTTCTTTGTATTCATCCTACACAGCAGGCCTATCGGATATGGCAGCGTTCCCGTACCGTGCCGTTCGCGGCCTGGGCGCCATGCAGGTTTTTCTGTCGGTCGTTGCCGTCTGTCTCGGGATCGGAGACTTGGTCGTGGGCTTGGCTTCCATTTGGCGGACTGGTCCAGGCTTCAGGGTCTTCCAAATGGGTACCGGCATCTGGACAGGCCTATCGGTAAGAAAACCAAATCTTATCCCATACAACACACTCTTGTATTAGGACTTATGGAACTGTAGTTTTGTACCAGTAGAAGCCATACTTTGTACATTTTTGTGCAATAAATGGATAATGAAATTAAGATGAAATCTCAATGAGCACCATGTACCAGGCGCTGTCAGGAAACCTTTTACAATGATATACTTCCTCAGTGTACAACGTTTTATAGAGGTGTAAACGTTACAGATGAACCACCCGTGAAGACAAGTCTGTAAAATGTATTCTTACATACATTCAGCTTATATATGATTATAAAGGCTTCTTTTCCTTTCCTTTTCTTACTCAAGAAAGGTCAATTTAATCCTGCATATTTTTCTTATTTATCCACCTATCTATCCTTCCATCCATCCATCCATCCATCCATCCATCCATCCATCCATCCATCCATCTATCCATCTATCTATCCATCTTGATGTAATTGGCAACCTGTGAACGTTGTCTTCTTTGCCTTAAGTTCCTGGTAGCGGGCAGCCTCGCAGCTTCGATAGGTGAAGGGAGAACTGCCGAACGCAAGGTGAGTGGAAAGACTTCTAGTATTCAATACAATATTCTCAAAGCGTCGAGAGAATTGTGAATACACATCATTTGCATGGACAGAGGTTGTTTGTTTTGAATTTTAATCCAGGATTAAAAATCATGAATCATGTTCCTTTACTTCAGATCGGCGCCATTCTAACCATGTCTCTGCTCAACACCATCGTCTTCGCACCTGGACTGATTGGTATTTCGATTGCTAGTTTTGTCCAGGTAATAATATTGATATTATTTAGCTTAAATCTTGTAACACATTCATTAGATGAGGAGCCATTTCCTAAAAGTTTTAATTCTATGTTCAACTGTAATCTTAATTTCTGCATTTTCTCAATCATATTTGAGAAAACAGTCACATTGATATGAAGCGCAGTAATATTAATGATTAGATATGATTATCATTCAGTCAGTCATTGGCATTCCAGTTATCATCTCGTATATATATCATCATAATACAACAGATATCGTCAACTAATGGATATCCAAATAAAGTATCAAGTATATGAATTTGTTATATAATCCAAACCAAGACGAAGTATGTATGGATGATAGCTTGGGTTCTGTAATTCATATTTAGGCAGGACTGTTCAAGTGTTTATTGACACAGATATGGTATTACGACCTACAGAGCTCGTATGACCTTGCCTCATCGAGCGGCTATGGCGGTTTTGCTGTCACGTTCGCCCAGGAGATCACCCTGACAGTTGTCGGGTGTCTGGAGCTCATTCTGTCCATAGTGACGGTCACGGTGTGCTTCAGGAGTGATCCGTACGATCAGAAAGTTGTCAATCAGGTAGGTAGCAGTCTTGAGTCTTGCTTACAGCATTGAGTCTTCTACATTATAATAATGGCTGCAAGCCTAGCAAGATAAGCCCTCCTACAGTTACCGCGGCTAGTAGAAGAGGTATTTAATTGCAGGTATCACTGTGGCCTTCAGTTTACATGTACGCCATAAAGGTATACGGTTTTGAAACAGTTGGAAACTGTCGGTTGTGCAGCCGATTACGCAAAGCAAGCAGTTGACCACACACAGATTTTCAAAGAACTTTAGGAGAAACTTGAGGTGCAAACATGCATATCGCTTTCATGTAGTGCACATACATGTACTGATTGTTTAGTTTAAATAAAACTATGTGAGCTTCAGACTTTTCTTACAATTGAATGCTTCCCCTTTGGCCACAGGTGGTGCCGATGTCCACGGAGCTCGACGTATCTGCACAACGCCCGTCATATGGGTATGTCGAAAGGTAATTAATAAGCCATAATGATGTTTTCAGAGGGGCACAACTCCGAAAATCATGGCAAGAGCCCGTATAGATCTGAACCAAATACCGTGTCTTTCGGCTGATAAAGCGAAGCCATCTTGAAAGGTGTCAGAGTGGGGTCGTGTGGCGTAGCGGCAGAGTGCTCAACTCGGAATCAAGAGGTCCCGGGTTCAAGTCCTACCATGCCATCGATCTTGTGCCCTTGGAAAAGGCACTTTACACAACTTTCCTCACTTCGCTCAGGTGGAAAGAGTATTGTACTGTCCCTGTGTGCCATCACCACGTCTTGTGATTACATGTTGGAGTATTAAAAAAAAAAGGTGTCAGGACAGAAAAAGAACCGATGAGAAATGCTGACTCATTGTTGTTCTGTTGGCATTTCAGACCTGGAACATCCCTCGACACGGACAAACCCAGCACCTCTGTGCTGCCGAGCTTGTCCAAAAGATCCAGCGGGAAACTTGTGACAAACCCCGTCCCCGAGATCGGCGTCCGGCAGGCTAGAACAGCGTCCCCCGTCTCTGAGGAGGAGGACTAGGGATGGATGTTATCCAAAACAATACGTCTGTCTACATGTGTAGAAGTTGACTTGGTTTTCATTATATTTAACACCTCCATGTGTTTAGTTTCTGTACATTAATTTGAATTTGATTTGTAAATGAAAGCAATAAAGAGAAAAAACAATACTAAGTCAGACACAGTCTTGGATAGTCCACATGTTTCCAAAACTGTTCTCGGGGACAAATCTACGTTGTTGGATACGGAGGCTATCCAGAATAATGCTACATAGACACGGTTCTAGATACAACAGCGTCTACCGTGACACAGGAGGAGGACTGATAAAGTTCTTACAGGCAGTTTTTTTCGGGGAAAAGGCTATATCATTTTAGTCTTTGAAGACTTTATTGATGGTACTTATATACTTGCATTTAGTGTTGTATTACTAGTATATGCCTTATAACGTGTGGTGTACATCAGTTGAGTTTGCTGTTGGAATTTTGATAAATAAATAAACAAATTGAAGTCTTTGATTGAGATAATGGCTTACTTGCAGTTTTTTAGGAGTGATACCATTACATGGCTCGTCAGGTACCCATTTTACACCTGGGTGGAGTGAGGAGGAAAGTCTTCAAAAGTGCCTTGCCCAAGAACAAAACGTCCAACCAGGACAGAAAACACAGAACTGGTGCCGCCTACCGAGATACAAACAATCTGCAGTTATATATAGGTGAAAGACCAGGTGTGACAGGTCATCGTCCGTGCGGTCAGTGTGTAGAAACTCTTAACGGGTACATTACGTCATAGATCATAGCACTAGTACCTTGTGACATGTTTATCAAGCAGGTTAATACTAGTCCCCTGTACTCTTATTTGTTTTCCTGTATGAAGTTAATCAAATTCGGCAGGTAATTTTTGAAACTTCAAGTAGGGGACGCTATAAGTGGCTCAAGCTAAGTAGTCAACCGTTCACATTTACCTGCATAATTCAGTTTAGCAACAGAAAGCCTTCGATCTTTTCTGTAAGTTAGCAATGAAGGCGGGAAGTTTAACATTATGGTCTCTTGTACGCTATTTGTGCCCCTGTGAGAGGTTAAATCAAATACAGGTGGTAAACTTTGAAACATTTAGTAGTAAATCGTAATCAATCTTTCAAGATATGAAACTTATCAATGTAACTTGCATGCCAATTGTATGTAAATATTAACAGATTCTTTATTGACACAACAAAAAAGTACAGAGACTTTTGTATGGTCTTCTACAACTTAACTAAAGATCTAACAAAGCTAAATACATGTGTGGATAACGTCATCTTACGTACAGAGTATATGTATGATGTAACAGTAAAGGTTAACTATTAAAAGCAAGTTCTTTAGAGCCCAACCCTCGACCGAGCAACATGTCACAACCCACGCTTTGAGGTCACCTGAGGACACGGGACGTGTATGAAAGCTCGGAGTCAAAGTTCAGCCATTTTTACAAGTCATGTTTACAAGGATCGTTTGTCGCTTGCAGGGACTAATGAAGTTAAGCATCCTCACTGTCACAATATCCTGGACAAACCCGGACCTGACAGCACCGTCTGTATCGTCTACTTTAATATCGTGATTTGTAAAAAGCCAAAACGACAACCTTCGAGCTAAAATCTTTGACATCGAGAACCGATGTTTTATATTAGGAGAGCGATCTTTACCCTGTTGTTCACAATAGGCGAAGCTCTGTCCGACAATGTTTGGTTCCAACAGCCGAACTTAGCCGGGGATTTGCGCCTTCTGAGTGAAACTCAAGAGTTGGCTCAGGCGCAGAGATCTGCGGAAGCCTTGCAGGTATGGAAGGAAGTGACTTGGAAGGCGGCGGTGGCTGCTTACGACGCCGCCAAGACGCGACCGGAAGAAGACATGGCCGTGCCGACTTATAACGTGTCGGAGGCCTGTAGGAACGCGACTTTCCGGTACCAGGAGGACCTACTACGTGGGAAGATGTACGCCTTACAGAGTGAGCACCCCCTCGCCTTGCAAGAATTTAACTATGAATTTCCAGTCTTAATTTTCTTTAAGATGTGACATTACTTTCATTGGAAATCGTTGTGTATATAACGTTATATGCGTGTGACGGTGTGTGTGTTTTTGTGTGTGTGTATGTGTCACAGTGTGTGTGTGTGTGTGTGTCACAGTGTGTGTGTGTGTGTCACAGTGTGTGTGTGTGTGTGTGTGTGTTTATGTGTCACAGTGTGTGTTGTATGTGTATGTGTCTGCGAGTGTGTATGAGTGAGTGTGTGTGTGTGTGTGTGTGAGTGTGTGTCTGTGTGTGTGTGTGCGTGTGTATGCGTGCGTATGTGTGTGTGTATGTGTGTGCGTATCTGTATGCGAGTGTGTATGGGTGTACACAATTGTTTCCTCGTTGTGAGACACTCAATTCTGATTCAACGTTTGCCGGGCCGGCACTGAAGGGCAAGGTACAATCGCTCTCAATGTTTTTCAGTGTTCGATGCAACCGGGAAGTTGCCGAGTGGTTTCTTTGAGGGGAACCTGAACTGGTGGGGCCTGTACAGCCAGTGTACAAACATCACAGCCAAGGGTTACGGAGAAAACATCAACTTTGATGCCAAATACTGGACTGCCACCATCGGACCACTCCCCCCAGGAATTCCAGTCTGCTGCATTTAATACCAACTCATTACAATAGAATTTGAAAAGAAAAGTCAACGTTTCATCAACATTCTTACTGCTGTCAATTGAAATGTAATTTAAGGGACCAGGATAAAGTGGTTACATTGGCCAGGTATTCCTTATGTAAGAATGAACCGTTGTACAGGTTTGACTGTAGTTCCAAAGACTCCAGTCTTGTGATTTGTACATTGATTGCACTTACAGACACCGCCATCACACGACTACCTGCGGGTTGGAGTTTGTGTCCCTGACACCTGCAGCAGGAATGATGTGATCCAATGGTTAGATGGCAGTAAGTTATGATTGTTGTACGTTCTTCCAAGACAAGGCTTAGACCACCACTGTGATAAGTGTCAGAATTCTGCATGAGATGGAACTATAATCTAATTATGCTAAAAAAGTAGCCCAATGATATTTTTAAAATAATCAATCATGACATGATGATAATTAACACATGGCTAGTTTCATATATGACGTCTTAATTTGGCCCCAAAGATCATGACCGAAAAATACAAGTTCACTTGTTTGGGAGGAGGTGCTAATGTCATCTGCAGTGCCATGTCATTGCCTTTGTCTAGAAGAAACTGTAGTGTAGATAGCTGCGGGGAAATCATGTACAATTAGGCACAGTTGGAGCAATGTAATATTTGGATGGGTCTAGTTCCAACATGAAACAGCCTTGCAAAGGGGAGGGATGAAACGTTAAACAACCTGCGTTGTATACTAGGTACTAGCTACTGGGATAAAGCTGTATTTTCCTCATAGTACTCAAGGATCTGTAGTCTATTGTAGTGCTACTTCAGCTTAGAATTCACCAGATAGGTAACGAACAGAATTGTTTACCCGCTAGGTGTCTTGATGAGACTGTTGTTACGAGAGGGACTCACCGTGATGGACGCAAAAAGTCTGCAAGTTCAGACAACTCTACCTCGGACTACACTAGCTGCCATGTGAGTAGAGAATGGTAGGGGTTTAGTGTCGAATCAATGTACGTGTATTGTGTACATGTGTGTGTTAGATATGTTTCCCAATCACAAACGAAGTGCCTGTCTGTGTGCTGTGTGTGCACATGTGCATTTTTGTGTGTGTTGAATGTGTGTGAGCATCGTGTATCACTGTACGTGTGCATGTATGTACGTGTGAGAATTAGTTCATATAGACATATGTACAAACAGAGTCGCAGGTTCTTTAACTTCCAATTTCTCAACCTGCATGTCCAGATGCATTATAAGCATCATCGTTGCACTAATGACTGCTGGAACGCTCTACGACATCTATCGACCAATATGGGAGGTCCATCAGCCGACCAGGAGCGAGAATGCTAATAAAGCAGTCACCGAGACAACTCCACTCGTCAACGATACCTCAGTGACGAGAAAAACCGAGGAAAGTGAGTACAAAACTTAGTCGCAAACATTGTTTTACCAAAGTTTACAATGATGCATTGCATTATATCATCTGAAAACTCACAGCAAAAGTGTCCTCAATTCTAATAGAGTAGAGGGGTAGCACTGATCTGACTAAAGATGCAATGGCAGAATTATGTTGTTAATATGTTGTTATTTGATTGTTATTGACAGGGCCGGTGAGTAAGTTTCTCCTGGCCTTCTCCGTGCGAACCAACACCCGGAAGCTGCTGTCTACGCGGGAGTCTCCCGACAGCCTGGGGTGTCTGCACGGGATCCGCTTCCTCAGCATGACCTGGGTCATCCTGGGACACACCTTCGGGTTCGTTCTACCCCATCTAGGTGAGATCTCAAGAAAAAAGTCACAATGTACACAAGTAGTCACGATATTAAAGATACTGGATTCTGAATTGAAGGGTGAATAAGGCGTTTTGGGGGTTAATGTTAACTTGAATCAAATTCAAAAACAGTGAATAAACAAAAGATATTAAGAGTATTCTGTGTGCCATTCTGTCTGAATTGCAATTATTTTAGCAGCTAAACATGGAGCAGCAATAATGATTCAGAGCATTAAGGATGATTTACGTGTGGTTTCACTCATCCAACTCTAGGTTAATCTATCTTTCTTTCTGCAGACAACCTATCGTACAGGCTGACTGTCTCACGACGCTTTAGCTCCGAGCCGATTCTCAACGGGTTCTCCTCTGTGGATTCTTTCTTTTTCCTTAGGTGAGATCTGAGCTACGTTTGCCCTACCTCCTACCAGGTTCAGACCTTAAATAGGTGTTTTTCTACGAGAGAGGGGTGTATGTTTTACATTGGGTCTTTAAGGAACTTAGTTGATCTTTGAACTGTGTAGATTGCATACTTTCAGCAACTAGTGCCTTGCGGTTTAGTAAAATCTAGGGTTTAAAATCTACTGCCGATCACTGGACATTGCTGCTGTTGGAAAGGATTGTTCCCTGTTCATTTTAGTGATGAGCTAGTTAGACAAATCACGTTACTCCGTTTTTGGCATGCGCCTTGTTTTGTCCTTGGTGCTTCAATGCAAAGCAAGGTTGATTGAGTGGCCCTCATTTGCTCCTGTTGTCTTCTCGGGACTTTCTCCTGTCTTGTACTTCATGAAATATCTTTCCTTCGTGAAATATCTATGATAAGTAGATAAATAGCTGACTTATGTTTTCCATGTTGTACAGTGGGGTCCTGATGGCATACCTGATGCTGCTCCAGCTGGATAAGTACAGAAGGGAGGGTCGCAGGTTCCCCTACTGGCAGCTGTATGTGCACCGATACTGGAGGTGAGAAGTAAAGAAAAAAATAGACAATCATAAGAATTATTTGCTCTCTACAGTGCGTGCAAGTCAACCCAAATGTATGCCAGTTTGCTGTTCTGGTTCTACATTTGAATTCTGTTATCTGGTGTTCATAAAGGCTTACCTGGCGAGTGCCATGACGGACAGAGTGGACTGGAGGTAGAGAGTCTGGGACCGGGACCCCGCCCCCCGGACTTGATGATTGTTTCCAT